CTATACATCTCTCTGCTCTTTCTCTGCTCTCTCTCTCTCTCCTGTTCTCTCTCTGCTCTCTCTGTCTCTCTGTCTCTCTGTCTGTGTCACGATCGTCATATTGAACAGACCAAGGCGCAGCGTGATGAACGAACATACTTTAATTAGTTAAAGTGTAAACACGATACAAAAACAAGAAACGACTCGTGAAGTCCACGGTAACAATGACCGAACACGGAACAAGAACCCACAAACACAAAGGGAAAATAGACAGTATAAATATGGCTCCCAATCAGAGACAACCAACGACAGCTGACACTCGTTGCCTCTGATTGGGAGTCACTCTCGCCAACATAGAAACAAACACACCAGAATTACCAACATAGAAATAAACACAAAGAATGAACACACCCTGGCTCAACATATAGAGTCCCAGAGCCAGGGTGTGACAGTCTGTCTGTCTGTCTCTCTCTCTCTCTCTCTCTCTCTCTCTCTCTCTCTCTCTCTCTCTCTCTCTCTCTCTCTCTCTCTCTCTCTCTCTCTCTCTCTCTAGGAGATATAACTCACAACACCTTCAGATATCAGTATTGGACTGCTATTTGTACTGAGGGTTCTCTTTGTGTTACCTACTACTGTAGCATTTGATGAGCTAGTCGTCTCTATACTCTGTGAACTATAGATCATGTAATTTATGCATAGGGTTTTTTGTAGGTTGTCAGTGTTTCCATAGGAGGAGGATGTGCAGCCTCACTATGGAAATACTCCAAGTGATGACAAGGTCATTGGTTCACATCTTGCGAGCAAAGCAAAGCACTCAACAACCATGGGTCCTTCCCTTATATCCATCTCCACAATAATAATGTCGATCAGCCCTTATATTGAGCTCCACAATAGTAATGTGGATCAGCCCTTATATTGAGCTCCACACTAATAATGTGGATCAGCCCTTATATTGAGCTCCTCAATAATAATGTTGATCAGCCCTTATATTGAGCTCCACAATAATAATGTGGATCATTTCTGAGAAAATAGGAATTTGCAAATGATTTAACTTGATGTATTTCTAGTTACAAGCGCCGTGCTCAGCTGGTAGAGCACGGCGCTTGTAACGCCATGGTAGTGGGTTCGATCCCCGGGACCACCCATACACAAAAATGTATGCACGCATGACTGTAAGTCGCTTTGGATAAAAGCGTCTGCTAAATGGCATATTATTATTATTATTATTATTATTATTATTATTATTATTATTATTATTATTATTATTATTATTACTCAGTTGCTGCCTGGCTGGTGGTATTTCAGATTAAATTCGATATTTTATTAATCCACACGGGGAATTGGTTTGCCATGTTGGCCACAAACATAAAAACAAGACTGCTTTTTGCACAGTATATTCTGTCTGTGTACTAGCGATCAAATTCAATCAGCCAATGAAAGCAGAATTTGAATTGAATTTGAATTAAAGGAATTTGAATTTAATTAAAACCAATTCAAATAAATTCAAACTGGACATAAAACTTGTGAGTCTCATTCCTTTGACAAATATTTTGCCAAAAGCATCTTCCACCTCTAAAGAATACAGATACCGTTTCAAATATTAGCTTGATTATAATCAAAGATGTCAAACAGTATTTTGTTTGTATTGTTGTCATGAGATGTTAGATTCCCTTTCATTGTGTTCTGAGTGGTTGATCTAATGCATTCTGGAAAAGGTGATTATCTAATATTTAATAAATTACAATATTTCCAAATCACTATAATTATTATAAACTCATTGAAGGAGAATGAGTTTTAAAAATGAAATGTTTGAAGAACATGTTAAACAGAGTATTGGTAACATGATGTAAAAATAAATGTGCATAATGATGTATGGAATAAATTATACATTAATTGAATGAAATTCTACTTACAGTGCATTTTGAAAGTATTCAGACCCCTTGACTTTTTCCAAATTTTGTTACGTTACAGCCTTATTCTAAAATTGATGAAATTGTTTTTTTCCCTCATCAATCTACACACAATACCCCATAAGGACAAAGCAAAAACAGGTTTTTAGATTTTTTTGTGCAGATTTATTAAAAATAGAAAACTGAAATATCCTATTTACATAAGTATTCAGACCCTTTACTCAGTACTTTGTTGAAGCACCTTTGGCAGCGATTACAGCCTTGAGTCTTCTTGGGTATGACGCTACAAGTGTTGCACACCTGTATTTGGGGGAGTTTCTCCCATTCTTCTCTGCAGATCCTCTCAAGCTCTGTCAGGTTGAATGGGGAGCGTGGCTGCACAGCTATTTTCAGGTCTCTTCAGAGATGTTAGATCGGGTTCAAGTCTGGGCTCTGGCTGGACCACTCAAGAACATTCAAAGACTTGTCCCAAAGCCACTCCTGCGTTGTCTTGGCTGTGTGCTTAGGGTTGTTGTCCTGTTGGAAAGTCAACCATCGTCCCATTCTGAGGTCCTGAGTGCTCTGGAGCAGGTTTGCTCTGTACTTTGCTCCGTTCATCTTTCCCTCGATCCTGACTAGTCTCCCAGTCCCTGCCGCTGAAAAACATCCCCACAGCATGATGCTGCCACCACCATGCTTCACCATAGGGATGGGACCAGGTTGTGATGCTTGGCATTCAGGCGAAAGAGTTCAATCTTGGTTTCATCAGACCAGAGAATCTTGTTTCTCAGTTTCTGAGAGTCTTTTAGGTGCCTTTTGGCAAACTCCAAGCGGACTCTCATGTGCATTTTACTGAGGAGTGGCTTCCTTCTGGCCACTCTACCATAAAGGCCTTATTGGTCTTCCTAGAGCCGGGCGGCCAGCTCTAGGAAGAGTCTTGGTGGTTCCAAACTTCTTCAATTTTTTGGTACCCTTCCCCAGATCTCTGCCTCTATACAATCCTGTCTTGGAGCTCTACGGACATTTCCTTCGACCTTTTGGCTTGGTTTTCCCTCTGACATGCACTGTCAACTGTGGGACCTTATATAGACAGGTGTGTGTCTTTCCAAATCATGTCCAATCAATTGAATTTACCACAGGTGGACTCCAATCAAGTTGTAGAAACATCTCAATGTAAACAGGATTCACCTGAGCTCAATGTAGAGTCTCATAGCAAAGGGTCTGAATACTTATGTAAATAAGGTCTTTCTGTTTTTTATTTTTAATACATTAGCAAACATTTCTAAAAACCTGTTTTTGTTTCGTCAATATTGGGTATTGTGTGTAGGTTGATGAGGAAAAAAATAATGTAATCAATTTTAGGATAAGGCTGTAACATAACAAAATGTGGAAAAGGGAAGGGGGTCTGAATATTCTCTGAATGCACTGTACTCTAATTCAAATTTAATTCAAATTCTGCTTCCTGTGGGGTGTGGCCAATTCAAGAATTGAATTGGAATTAAAGACCAATTCGCAACTCAATTCTGAATTGACCCCAACCCTGACTAGCGTTTGACTAAGGGAGCCAGCCAGTCAGCGCTATCGTCAATGAACTAGCAATAGCAGTAATTCATGTATAGGATATTTGGTGATATCCAGGTGCTGATTGATATGCATGATGCCAAGGTCACAGGTTCAAATCGTGAGTCGGTATGAAAGACATAATTTCTCTCATGAGCAAAGCACTCAAAAAACTGTCCATCTCTCATCCAACATAATGTGGATAATTTCAAAAGAGAGCCATTTTAAAAGAGGCATTTGTAATGCAAATAATATATCCTTTATGTAGTAGATTACCAGAGATGGTCCATAATGTTATAGACCTTGTAGTAGGCTAATAGTATTACTGCTATTGGGTAATGGTATTGCTGTCTTGCTGACTGGCTGGCTGCATTGTTGATGTGAGCAGCATTATGACCCAGACACAAGCCCAGAAACGTCATTAGAGGACAAGTACTGCATACAAAATGGCACCCTATTCCCTATTGGGATGCAGATTATGTTTTCAAAGGAGGGAATATGCATGATGACAAGGTCACGGGTTCAAATGTTCAGTTGCTATGACAGTCCTATTTATGGAGCCATTTGGGCCTCACTCGGAGTCTAGCAGAGGCATCCTCAGAGTCGGGGGATGGGGAGGACTATTGCCGGACATTTTAAATGACAATTTCCCAGAAATAGTAGGAATAGAAGATCTAGATCGTATTGAGGTCACTGCCGACTGATACACAGCCAGCCAGTGAATGTTGACGTTTACAGTTACACAATATGCCTGGGAAGTCTCTTCTGGGTGCTTTAATATTAATACTAATTATAATACTAATTATATAATACTAATTATATTAATACTAACTATAAAAATCTAGAGGATTTATTATAATAAGACCCAAATACGTTTTTTTCTCCTCTAGAACATTTAGGTAACTGACGATAACACGAGGTTATTAAGGCCTAGGTTTTTTCTACTCACTTATTTTTCTTTTACTCAGTTTCTAACATCACCATATTATTTACTGTCACCTTTTTCTGATTATGATTGAGTCTACCTTAGCCTTATGATTTAACATTTTCTTTCTCTTTTTTCCAACTGATTCCTTTAATTTATCCTTTCTCATTCACTCACCCTTTCATCCATTCTACACACTCACCCTTTCATCCATCCTACACACTCACCCTTTTCATCCATCCTACACACTCACCCTTTTCATCCATTCTACACACTCACCCTTTCATCCATCCTACATACTCACCCTATCATCCATCCTACACACTCACCCTTTTCATCCATCCTACACACTCACCCTTTTCATGCATTCTACACACTCACCCTTTCATCCATCCACACACTCACCCTTCATCCATCCTAACACACTCACCCTTTCATCCATCCTACATACTCACCCTATCATCCATCCTACATACTCACCCTTTCATCCATCCTACACACTCACCCTTTTTCTCTACCCTCCCCGGCTCACTTGGATGGCTACACACTATTCTCCTTTGGATGACTACACTACTGTCCTCCTCTCCCGTGGATGACTACACTACTGTCCTCCTCTCCCGTGGATGACAACACTCCTACTCCTACTCCTACTCCACCTCCATAGCTGGCTTTGTGAAGTCTCCCCTGTCTGAGACCAAACTAACAGGCGACACCTTTGAGCTGTACTGTGACGTGGTCGGTAACCCCACCCCAGAGATCCAGTGGTGGTACGCTGAGATCAATCGGGCCGACTCCTTACGCCAGCTCTGGGACGGCGCCCGTAAACGTCGTGAGTCCATCATCAACACAACACCAACGGTGTGAGCGTTCTGGGCGTGACGCGTCTCGGTCTGGAGGATTCTGGGACGTACGAGTGTCGGGCCAGTAATGATCCGAGGAGAAACGATCTGCACCAAAACCCTGCCGCCACCTGGATCGGAGCACAGGCCACCATTACTGTGCTGCAGAGTGAGTGGTAAGAGACAGAGTAGAGTAACCCCGCCCCCCCCAGGGTTAGCGGCTTCATTAGCAGCCAGTCCCAATTCACTCCCTACCCCTTCCCAATAGACCCTTTGATGTTTGTACATCTGTGAGGTGTAAGCAACATGGTTGATGCTCCACCACTATCCAAGCCCCCCTTTCAAAACCTCCAGGACCACCACCAGTTCCCTAGTAGAAGCCATCACCGTGTTATATCGTATTATATCATATTATATCCCAGAGAAATAGAAGTACAGTCAATGTAAGTAACCTAATCTATGTTACTTTAACTGTTAGCTCCGAGGGTATTGTCTGCAATAATCACATGCACATAGAATTGAATTCCACTGTTTGCACTGAAACTGTCTGCTTTAGGAAGAAGCCCACTGTGGGAAGCCCACTCAGTACCATTGACTCAAATGTAAATGTCACTCACATGTCTACCTCGGATCAGCCTCTCAGAAAAGCACTAAAAACAAACAAGCAACCCAGAAAAGGACAAAAAAATGGCCCATATTAACATATGTAGCCTGAGAAACAAGGTTAATGAAATTGACAACATATTAACATCAGAAAACAATATTACATATTCTGGCCATCTCTGAAACACACTTAGATCATTCATTTGATGATGCAGTAGTAGCTATACATGGTTATAGAATATACAGGAAAGATAGAAATGCAGATGGAGGAGGAGTTGCTATGTATACTACCGGTCAAAAGTTTTAGAACACCTACACATTCAAGGGTTTTTCTTTATTTTTTAAAACTATTTTCTACACTGTAGAATAAAAGTGAAGACATCAAAACTATGAAATAACACATATGGAATCAAAATATAAAAAAATTAAATAAAAAATAAAACATCTCAATTGGGATTAAGTCTGGACTTTGACTAGGCCATTCCAAAACTTCAAATTTGTTGATTTTTAGCAATTTTCATGTAGACTTGATTGTGTGTTTTGGATCATTGTCTTGCTGCATGACCCAGCTGCGCTTCAGCTTCTGCTCACAGACGGATGGTCTGACATTCTCCTGTAGAATTCTCTGATACAGAGCAGAATTCATGGTTCCTTCTATTAAGGCAAGTCGTCCAGGTCCTGAGGCAGCAAAGCATCCCCAAACCATCACACTGTCAGAGGTGTGTGTGTAGATGAGTGGAAGGAATCAAGCGCAGGAACCAGGATGACTTCAACCGTCTTTTATAGTAATGTTCAACACGTGAACAAAATAGTCGCCTACCCAACCGGGTGGCGCAAAACAATTACGCACAAAACACAGTGCGAAATACACATGAAAAGCGCACGCAGTGCGAACTCTCGGGAACACGCCACAACGAGAGAAATAAACCCTACAGAGGCAGTCTGACAAATAACAATCACGCATAACACCTGACCCAAACACACGAAACTAAATAGGGAAACAATTAAGACACAAATAAGGGACAGGTGTTAAGAACAGACAAAACCAAACGAACATGAAACATAGAACGGTGGCAGCTAGTACTCCGGAGACGACGACCGCCGAAGCCTGCCCGAACAAGGAAGAGGAGCAGCCTCGGCCGAAACCGTGACAGTACCCCCCCCCTTGACGCGCGGCTCCAGCCGTGCGCCGACCCGGAGCTCGGGGACGACCCGGACGACGCGGAGCAGGGCGCGCAGGATGACCCCGATGGAACTCGGTCAGTAGGGACTGGTCCAATATGTCCCTCCTTGGCACCCAGCACCGCTCCTCCGGACCGTACCCCTCCCACTCCACGAGATATTGAAGACCCCCCATCCGGCGTCTAGAATCCAGGATGGACCTCACGGTGTATGCCGGAGCCCCCTCGATGTCCAACGGGGGCGGAGGAGTCTCCTCAATCTCAAAGTCCTGGAGTGGACCAGCTACCACCGGCCTGAGGAGAGACACATGGAACGAGGGGTTAATGTTCTTGTAATCAATAGGTAATTCTAACCTATAACTCACCTCGTTCAATCTCCTCAGGACTTTAAAGGGCCCCACAAACCGCCGACCCAGCTTCCGGCAGGGCAGGCGGAGGGGCAGGTTTCTGGTTGAGAGCCAGACTCGATCTCCAGGTGCGTACACTGGCCCCTCACTGCGGTGTAGGTCGGCGCTCGTCTTCTGTCGACGTATGGCACGCTGCAGATGGACGTGTGCAGCGTCCCACGTCTCCTCCGAGCGCCGCACCCACTCATCCACAGCGGGGGCCTCGATCTGGCTCTCATGCCATGGTGCCAGAAACCGGCTGGTACCCTAATACACACTGAAAAGGGGTTAGTTGGGTGGAGGAGTGGCGAAGAGAGTTCTGTGCCATCTCGGCCCAGGGCACATATCTCGCCCACTCCTCCGGCCGGTCCTGACAGTATGACCTCAGAAACCTACCCACATCCTGGTTGACACGTTCAACCTGCCCATTACTCTCCGGGTGGTAACCCGAGGTAAGGCTTACCGAAACCCCCAACCGTTCCATAAATGCTCTCCACACTCTAGAGGTGAACTGGGGGCCTCGGTCAGACACTATATCCTCGGGTACCCCGTAATGCCGGAAGACATGGGTGAACAGAGCCTCTGCGGTCTGTAGGGCAGTGGGTAGACCCGGCATGGGAAGGAGACGACAGGCCTTAGAGAACCGATCCACAACGACCAGGATGGTAGTATTCCCCTGTGAGGGGGGAAGGTCGGTAACAAAATCCACCGAGAGGTGGGACCAGGGTCGTTGTGGAATAGGCAGGGGTTGTAACTTACCCCTGGGCAAATGTCTGGGCGCCTTACACTGGGCACACACCGAACAGGAGGAGACATAAATCCTCACATCCCTAGCTAACGTTGGCCACCAGTACTTCGTGCTAAGACAGTGCACTGTCCGGCCGATACCCGGATGGCCAGAGGAGGGGGACGTATGAGCCCAACAAATGAGGCGATCGCGTACCTCGAGCGGAACGTACGTCCGACCCACAGGACACTGTGGAGGACTCGGGTCGGTGCGTAACGCCCGCTCGATCTCACCATCAACCTCCCACACCACCGGAGCAACCAGACAAGACTCCGGTAGTATGGGCGTGGACTCAACTGACCTCTCCTCTGCGTCATACCGCCGAGACAGAGCATCTGCCCTCCCGTTCTGGGACCCAGGGATGTATGTGATTTTAAACACAAACCGGGCTAGAAACATAGTCCAGCGAGCCTGGCGAGGATTCAGTCTCCTAGCTGCCCGGATGTACTCCAGGTTACGATGGTCAGTTAGAATGAGGAAAGGGTGTTGAGCCCCCTCGAGCCAATGCCGCCACACCTTTAGGGCCTGTACCACGGCTAACAGCTCCCTGTCTCCTACGTCATAATTCCGCTCCGCCGGACTGAGCTTCTTTGAGTAAAACGCACAGGGACGGAGTTTAGGTGGAGTGCCAGAACGCTGGGAAAGAACGGCCCCTATCCCGGCCTCTGACGCGTCCACCTCTACTTGGAACGGTAAAGAGGGATCCGGATGCGCCAACACCGGCGCCGAGGTAAACAGGTCCTTCAGTCTCCCAAATGCCCTGTCCGCCTCAGCTGACCACCGCAAGCGCACCGGCCCCCCCCTTTAACAGAGACGTTATGGGAGCTGCCACCTGTCCAAAACCCCGGATAAACCTCCGGTAATAATTCGCAAAACCCAAGAACCGTTGCACCTCCTTCACAGTGGTTGGGGTCTGCCAATTACGCACAGCTGACACCCGGTCTACCTCCATCTTCACCCCTGACGCAGATAACTGGTAACCCAGAAAGGAGACCGACTTCTGAAAAAACAGACATTTCTCTGCCTTGACATATAGGTCATGCTCCAACAGCCGCCTCAATACTCGGCGCACCAGGGCTACATGCTCAGCACGGGTAGGACTATACACCAGAATGTCGTCGATGTACACAACTACTCCCTGTCCCTGCATGTCCCGGAAAATCTCATCGACGAAGGATTGGAAGACTGAGGGAGCATTCATCAACCCATATGGCATGACTAGATACTCGTAGTGTCCGGAAGTCGTGCTAAACGCTGTCTTCCATTCATCGCCCTCTCTAATGCGCACCAAGTTATAAGCGCTCCTCAGATCCAATTTTGTAAAGAACTGCGCACCGTGCAGTGACTCCGTCATAGTCGCAATCAGAGGAAGTGGATAGCTGTACTTCACTGTGATCTGATTGAGACCGCGGTAATCAATACACGGGCGCAGACCTCCATCCTTTTTCTTCACAAAAAAGAAACTGGAGGAAGCGGGTGAAGTGGAGGCCCGTATGTATCCCTGTCTAAGCGACTCAGAGATGTACGTCTCCATAGCCTTTCTCTCCTCTTGAGACAAGGGATACACATGGCTCCGCGGGAGAGCTGCTCCTGACTGGAGATCTATCGCACAATCCCCCCGTCTATGAGGCGGCAGCTGCGCCGCCCTAGTCTTACTGAACGCCAGTGCCAAATCCTCATACTCGGGGGGAATCTGCAGTGCTGGCATTAGATTCGGACTCTCCACCGAGGTCGCCCCTATGGAAACACCCAGACACCGCCCCTCACATTGAGCAGACCACCCTTTAAGAGCTTTCTCTCGCCACATAATAGTAGGGTCATGAGTCATCAACCAGGGAAGACCCAGCACCACCGGATACGCAGGAGAGTCAATCAGATAGAGCTGAATACTCTCCTCATGACCCTCCTGCGCCATCATCTGAAGGGGTGCTGTGACCTCCCTAATCAACCCAGACCCTAACGGACGGCTATCTAGGGCATGGACGGGGAAAGGCTTATCCACTGGAAGGAGGGGAATCCCTAACTCTATACAGAACTGGCGATCTACAAAATTCCCAGCTGCGCCTGAATCTACCAGCGCCTTATGCTGGGAACGAGGTGCAACCTGTGGGAAACAAACAGGCAAGGTTAGGTGCACGACAGAAAGCTCTGGGTAAGCAGGGCGCCTACTCACCTGGGGGGACCCCCCAATGCGTGACCTGCCTTCTCCCTCCCCGGAGGACCCGCCCCAACACCTAGCCGCGGTGTGCCCTCCACGGCCACAGTTAGTGCAAGGGCCGGGTCCCCTCGGGCTCCTCCTCCTCCGTTCCCTAGCGCCAGCACCACCGAGCTCCATAGGACTCGGCTCGGAGGTGCTGGAGAGTGGAATGGGCGAACCCCCCCTCCCGGGACGTCCACGGGTGGCGAGCAGGGTATCCAGCCGAATGGCCATGTCGACAAGCTGGTCGAAAGTCAACGAGGTGTCCCTGCACGCCAACTCTCGCTGGACGTCCTCCCGGAGGCTGCAGCGGAAGTGGTCGATATGGGCCCGCTCATTCCACCCTGCATCGGCCGCTAGGGTCCGAAACTCCAAGGCAAGTCCTGGGCGCTCCTCATCCCCTGTCGGAGGTAGAATAGACGCTCCCCCGCCGCCTTCCCCTCTGGTGGATGGTCGAACACAGCACGGAAGCGGCGGGAGAACTCCGCATAGTTCGTGGTAGCGGCGTCCATTCTCCTCCACTCAGCGTTGGCCCACTCCAACGCCTTTCCGGTGAGACAGGAGATGAGGGCTGAGACGCTCTCGTGTCCCGAGGGCGCCGGGTGTACGGTGGCGAGGTAGAGCTCCACCTGCAGCAGGAAACCTTGACACCCGGCAGTGGAGCCGTCGTACGCCCTCGGGAGCGAGAGCCGAATCCCACTGGGTTCCGGAGATGAGACAGGAGGGCTGACCGATGGGGCTGGTTCGGTTCGTGGGGGGTGTGGGAACCCCGCTGGTCTCCCATCGGTGCAGAGTATTCATCACCCCCTCCAGGGCATGACAGACCTGGTTGATGCGGTCCTCCTGACCACGAAGACGTTCAGCCATCTCGGCTGTTGGCGCGGTCGCTCCTGCTGATTCCATGGAGATGATGCGTGATTCTGTCAGAGGTGTGTGTGTAGATGAGTGGAAGGAATCAAGCGCAGGAACCAGGATGACTTCAACCGTCTTTTATAGTAATGTTCAACACGTGAACAAAATAGTCGCCTACCCAACCGGGTGGCGCAAAACAATTACGCACAAAACACAGTGCGAAATACACATGAAAAGCGCACGCAGTGCGAACTCTCGGGAACACGCCACAACGAGAGAAATAAACCCTACAGAGGCAGTCTGACAAATAACAATCACGCATAACACCTGACCCAAACACACGAAACTAAATAGGGAAACAATTAAGACACAAATAAGGGACAGGTGTTAAGAACAGACAAAACCAAACGAACATGAAACATAGAACGGTGGCAGCTAGTACTCCGGAGACGACGACCGCCGAAGCCTGCCCGAACAAGGAAGAGGAGCAGCCTCGGCCGAAACCGTGACACACACCACCACCACCATGCTTGACCTTTGGTATGATGTTCTTACTGTGGAATGCAGAGTTTGGCAAATACTTTTTCATAGCACTGTAAATGAAATTCTAGGCAAGAAAGCAAAATCAGCTCCATCTTTCATTGAGGCAGTTGGCTTGTTCATAATAAAACACTTTTTTGTTGACAAGATTAGCAAACTTAGGTATGACATGCAAACAACAAATGCTGAACCTTCATATTCATGCATAATGGACCAAATAATGAAAGACAAGCACTGTAGTTTTGAGTTCCACAAAGTGGTTGTGGAAGAGGTGAAATAATTGTTACTATCTATAAATAAGGGCAAACCACCTGGAACTGACAACCTGGATGGTAAATTGCTGAGGTTGGTAGCGGAGCACATTGTGACTCCTGTTTGCCACATCTTCAATTTAAGCCTAGAAGACGGTGTGTGCCCTCAGACATGGAGGGAGGCAAGGATCATTCTGCTACCCAAGAATAGCAGAGCACCCTTTAACCTCTACGGGATCGGTGTCCCGTATACGGGACGGTTGAGCTAACGTGCGCTAATGTGATTAGCATGACTGTTGTAAGTAACAGCAAACTTTCCAGGACATAGACATGTCCTATATGGGCAGAACGCTTAAATTCTTGTTAATCTAACTGCACTGTCCAATTTACAGTAGCTATTACAGTGAAAAATACCATGCTATTGTTTGAGGAGAGGGCACAACAACCAAAAACGTATCACGGCAACTGGTTTGATACATTCACCTCTGAAGGTAAATAATGTACTTACATTCAGTAATATTGCTCTGATTTGTCATCATAAGGGTCCCAGAGATAAAATCTAGCATAGTTTTGTTTGATAAAATCAATTTTTATATTCAAATGTAGGAACTGGGTTCTACAGTTTGAACCCCTGCTGTCTCTGGCTCCACACCCCACCCCGCCATCTAGATGTGTGAAAGTTAGTGTATAGGCTAATGATCCATCATGTATGACATTCCTGGGAGTGTGTAAACTTACATTTTGTATTACCATATCATTTTTGTATGTTCTCTATAGTTATGTACTTGAAAATGTATCAATTGACCAATTCGGCACATTTGGGCAGACTTGATACAAAATAGTCCAGTATTGCAATGCTTCACTGGATCAATCTGAAACTTTGCACACACACTGCTGCCATGTAGTGGCCAAAATCTAAATTGCGCCTAAACTGCAATATTATATTGTGGCCTTTCTCTTGCATTTCAAAGATGATACATTATTTTTTTTAATACGCATGTTTGTTTGTTTGTATTATCTTTTACCAGATCTAATGTGTTATATTCGCCTACATTCATTTCACATTTTAAATGGTATCAATAATATGCATATCCTTGCTTCAGGTCCTGAGCTACAGGCAGTTAGATTTGGGTATGTCATTATAGGCGAAAATTGAAAAAAAGGTTCCGATCCTTAAGAGGTTAATGGTTCAAACAGCCGACCAATCAGCTTGTTACAAATGCTTTCAGCTTGCTTATATGGAAGGGCACTCAACATGCTCTGCACTGAAACAAATGACAGATTATTGGCTGAAAGAAATTGATAGTAAGAAGATTGTGGGAGCTGTTTTGTTAGACTTCAGTGCAGCTTTTGATCATAACCTATTGCTGAAAAAACTTAGGTGTTATGCATTTGCATCCTCTGCCTTATTATGAATTGAGAGTTACCTATCTATAATAGAACACTGAGGGTTTTCGTTAATGGAAGCCTCTCATGCAAATTCAGTTGACTGTGGTGTACCGCAGGGCAGCCGGCTGGGGCCATTATTGTTTTCTGTTTTTACAAATGACCTCCCGCTGACTTTGAATAAAGGCTGTGTGTCTATGTACGCTGACAACTGAACAGTATACACGTCTGCTGCAACAGTAAAATCAATAACTGAGACACTTAACATAGAGCTCCAGTCAGTTTTAGAATGGGTAATTAGCAATAGGTTGGTGCTAATTATCTCAAAAACGAAAAGCATAATATTTGGGACAAATCACTTGCTCAACGCTAAACCTTGTTTAGATCTATTATTGAATAATGTGGCTATTGAGCAAGTTGAGGAGACTAAAACTGCTGGGTGTAAACCTAGATAGCAAGCTTTCATGGTCAAAACATATAGACTCAATGGTTGCTAAAATTGGACGAGGTCTGTCCATGATAGGGTGTTGCTCTGCCTTGTTGACATCTCAGTCGACCAGACAGGTCCTACAGGCCCTAGTTTCGTCGCACCTGGACTACTGCCTAGCTGTGTGGTCATGTGTGGCAAAGAAGGACATAGGTCAATTACAGTTGGTCCAGAAAAAAGTAGCACGTATCGCACTTAGATGTACATGGAGGGAAAGTGTCCGTAACATGCATGTCAGAACTCTCTGTAACCCCAGGTAACTCAAACTAGCAATAAAACCAGATTCAAAAACCAGATACAATAAACACCTTACTGCACAAAGGGGATTATGAAGTGACACAGCCATTTTATATATATTGTATTGTAATTTGCACCTTATTATGTAATAGGCCTAGATATTGTGTGTATGTACTGATATTTAGGATATGTGTGACATTTTAAATGTATGTATTTCAGTCCTTGACTAATAATATTACAGTGAGGGAAAAAAGTATTTGATCCCCTGCTGATTTTGAATGTTTGCCCACTGACAAAGAAATAATCAGTCTATAATTGTCAAGGTGCTTATGTGGATGCGGTGGTGAAGTCAAGCGCAGGACACAGAGGAATAAGTCAAGACGACTTTACTAATCACCTCTATAGGTACACACAAATAAATGACCTCAAAAACACAAGAGGCGAAACAAATACGCGAGTGCGTAAAATCACACGAAATGCCAAGGTACGGAACCTATACATACATGACAGGCGGACAATAACACACAAAATACAAACATAACATAGGGGAACTTATAGGTGACATAATCAATACAGAATACGAAACAGGTGCACTAACTAGACATGACAAAACAAACATCGAAAACATCAAACGGTAGTAGCTAGTACTCCGGGGACGACGAACGCCGAAGCCTGCCCGAGCAAGGAGGAGGAGCAGCCTCGGCGGCATCCGTGACAGTACCCCCCCCCCCCTTGACGCGCGGCTCCAGCCGTGTGCCGACCCCGGCCTCGGGGACGGCCAGGAGGACGCGGAGCAGGGCGCGTGGGATGACTCTGGTGGAACTCCGTCAGGAGGGAGGGATCTAAAATGTCCCTCCTAGGCACCCAGCACCGTTCCTCCGGACCGTACCCCTCCCACTCCACGAGATACTGCAGACCCCCCATCCGACGTCTCGAATCCACGATGGACCGGACTGAGTACGCCGGAGCCCCCTCGATGTCCAGTGGGGGCGGAGGAGTCTCCCGTATCTCATTGTCCTGGAGTGGACCAGCTACCACCGGCCTGAGGAGAGACACATGGAACGAGTGGTTAATGTGATAATCATTAGGCAGTTGTAACCTGTAACATACCTCGTTCAATCTCCTCAGGACTTTAAATGGCCCCACAAACCGCCGACCCAGCTTCCGGCAGGGCAGGCGAAGGGGCAGGTTTCGGGTCGAGAGCCAGACTCGATCTCCAGGTGCGTACACTGGTCCCTCACTGCGGTGGAGATCGGCGCTCGCCTTCTGCCTACGGATAGCCCGCTGCAGATGTACATGCGCAGCGTTCCATGTCTCCTCCGAGCGCCGAAACCACTCATCCACCGCAGGAGCCTCGATCTGGCTCTGATGCCATGGTGCCAGAACCGGCTGATACCCCAACACACACTGGAAAGGGGTCAGATTAGTAGAGGAATGGCGAAGAGAATTCTGGGCAATCTCCGCCCAGGGGATATACCCCGACCACTCCTCCTGCCGGTCCTGGCAATATGATCTCAGAAACCTACCCACATCCTGGTTCACTCTCTCCACCTGCCCATTACTCTCAGGGTGGAAACCCGAGGTAAGGCTAACCGAGACCCCCAAGCGTTCCATGAACGCCCTCCAGACTCTAGAGGTGAATTGGGGACCCCGATCAGACACTATATCCTCGGGTACCCCGTAGTGCCGGAAGACGTGGGTAAACAAATCCTCAGCAGTCTGTAGGGCAGTAGGGAGACCCGGAATTGGGATGAGACGACAGGCTTTAGAGAACCGATCCACAACGACCAGAATGGTGGTATTCCCCTGGGAGGGGGGAAGGTCCGTGACAAAGTCTACCGAGAGGTGAGACCACGGCCGTTGTGGAACGGGAATGGGTTGTAACTTCCCCCTGGGCAGGTGTCTAGGCGCCTTACACTGAGCGCACACCGAGCAGGAGGAGACATAAACCCTCACGTCCTTAGCCAATGTTGGCCACCAGTACTTTTCGCTAAGACAGTGCACTGTCCGGCCAATACCAGGAAACCCAAAAACCGCTGCACTTCCTTAACCGTGGTTGGAGTCTGCCAATTACGCACGGCTGAAACGCGGTCAATCTCGATCTCCACCCCTGACGCGGACAATCGATGGCCCAGGAAGGAGATGGACTCGTGGAAAAACAGACATTTCTCTGCCTTGACATACAAGTCATGCTCCAACAGCCTACCCAACACTCGACGCACCAGGGCTACATGCTCGGCTCGTGTAGAAGAGTAAACTAGTATGTCATCAATATACACTACTACACCCTGCCCATGCAAATCCCGGAAGATCTCGTCCACAAAGGATTGGAAGACTGAAGGAGCATTCATTAACCCGTATGGCATGACGAGATACTCATAGTGACCCGAGGTGGTACTAAATGCTGTCTTCCATTCATCTCCCTCCCTAATGCGCACCAAGTTTTAGGCGCTCCTGAGATCCAGTTTTGTGAAGAAACGCGCTCCCTGTAATGATTCCGTCATACTCGCAATCAGAGGGAGTGGATAACTGTATTTCACAGTGATCTGATTGAGACTACGGTAATCAATACACGGGCGCAACCCTCCATCCTTCTTCTTCACAAAAAAGAAACTCGAGGATGCAGGGGAAGTGGAGGGCCGTATGTATCCCTGTCTCAGAGACTCGGCTATGTATGTCTCCATAGCCACCTTCTCCTCTTGAGACAGAGGATACACATGACTATGTGGAAGTGCAGTGCCTGCCTGGAGGTCTATCGCACAATCCCCCTGTCTATGAGGTGGCAATCGCGTCGCCCTAGTCTTGCTGAACACGAGTGCCAAATCCTCATACTCAGGAGGAATGTGCAGTGCGGGCAATTGGTTCAGACTTTCCACCGTGGTCGCCCCTACGGAAACACCTAGACATCGCCCAACACACTGGTCAGACCACTCCTTGAGAGACCTCTGTTGCCACGAAATGGTGGGGTCATGGGTGATTAACCAAGGAAGCCCCAGCACCACGAGATACGCAGGAGAGTCGATCAGATATAACTGAATGATCTCTTCATGACCCCCCTGCGCCTTCATCTTTAGTGGTGCTGTGATCTCCCTAATCAAACCAGATCCCAACGGACGGCTATCTAGGGCATGAATAGGGAAAGGCACATCTACTGGTAGGAGGGGAATCCCTAACTTAACCCAAAAATTACGATCTATAAAATTCCCAGCTGCGCCTGAATCGACTAGCGCCTTATGCTGGGAATGAGATGCAACCTGGGGAAATACTACAGGTATACACAGATGAACAACAGAGAGCTCTGGGTGAGTTGGGTGCCTACTCACCTGGAATGACTCCCCAGTGCGTAACCTGTTGCCTCGATCCCCTGGAGGCCCTCCCCAGCACCGAACCGCAGTGTGTCCTCTACGGCCACAGTTGGTGCAGGGGACGACCTCCCTCCGGATCTCTCTCCTCCTTTCTCTAGCGCCAGCACCCCCGAGCTCCATAGGGCTCGGCTCGGAGGTGCTGGGTGATGGAATGGACGGCCCCAACTCCGGACATCCGCGGGTAGCCAGCAGGGTATCCAGACGGATTGACATGTCCACCAACTGGTCGAAGGTTAGATTGATGTCCCTGCAGGCCAACGTCCTCTCGCAGGCTGCACCGATAGTGGTCGATGAGGGCCCTCTCATTCCACCCCGCATCCGCCGCTAGAGTCCGGAAGTCCAGGGCGAACTCCTGTGCGCTCCTCTTCCCCTGTCGGAGGTGGAACAGACGCTCCCCCGCCGCTTTACCCTCTGGGGGATGATCGAAAACAGCCCTGAAGCGGCGGGAGAACTCTGCATAGCTGATGGTGGCGGCGTCTATTCCCCTCCATTCGGCATTGGCCCACTCCAAAGCCTTGCCGGAGAGACAGGAGATGAGGGCGGAAACGCTCTCGTATCCCGAGGGCGCCGGGTGTATGGTTGCCAGGTAGAGTTCCACCCGAAGGAGGAACCCCTGACACCCGGCTGCGGTGCCATCATATGCCCTCGGGAGCGAGAGCCGAATCCCACTGGACTCCGGAGCTGGTATGATGGGGCTGGCCGATGGTGGTGGTAAGGTAGGAGGAGGTGTGGGCAGGCCTTCTCTTTCCCATCGGCGCAGAGTGTCCATGACGCCTTGCATGGCGGAGCCGAGTCGCATCCTGGCTGCTGACCCGATCCTCCAGTGACTCGGTCACCGCCGCTGCTCCTGCTGACTCCATAGGTGGTGTGTTATTCTGTCAAGGTGCTGATGTGGATGCGGTGGTGAAGTCAAGCGCAGGACACAGAGGAATAAGTCAAGACGACTTTACTAATCACCTCTATAGGTACACACAAATAAACAACCTCAAAAACACAAGAGGTGAAACAAATACGTGAGTGCGTAAAATCACACGAAATGCCAAGGTACCGAACCTATACATACATGACAGGCGGACAATAACACACAAAATACAAACATAACATAGGGGAACTTATAGGTGACATAATCAATACAGAATACGAAACAGGTGCACTAACTAGACATGACAAAACAAACATCTAAAACATCAAACGGTAGTAGCTAGTACTCCGGGGACGACGAACGCCGAAGCCTGCCCGAGCAAGGAGGAGGAGCAGCCTCGGCGGCATCCGTGACAATAATTTTAATGGTAGGTTTATTTGAACAGTGAGAGACAGAATAACAACAAACAAATCCAGAAAAACGCATGTCGAAAATGTTATAAATTGATTTGCATTTTAATGAGGGAAATAAGTATTTGACCCCCTCTCAATCAGAAAGATTTCTGGCTCCCAGGTGTCTTTTATACAGGTAACGAGCTGAGATTAGGAGCATACTCTTAAAGGGAGTGCTCCTAATCTCAGCTTGTTACCTGTATAAAAGACACCTGTCCACAGAAGCAATCAATCAATCAGATTCCAAACTCTCCACCATGGCCAAGACCAAAGAGCTCTCCAAGGATGTCAGGGACAAGATTGTAGACCTACACAAGGCTGGAATGGGCTACAAGACCATCGCCAAGCAGCTTGGTGAGAAGGTGACAACAATTGGTGCGATTATTCGCAAATGGAAGAAACACAAAATAACTGTCAATCTCCCTCGGCCTGGGGCTCCATGCAAGATCTCACCTCGTGGAGTTGCAATGATCATGAGAATGGTGAGGAATCAGCCCAGAACTACACAGGAGGATCTTGTCAATGATCTCAAGGCAACTGGGACCATAGTCACCAAGAAAACAATTGGTAACACACTACGCCGTGAAGGACTGAAATCCTGCAGCGCCCGCAAGATCCCCCTGCTCAAGAAAGCACATAGACAGGCCCGTCTGAAGTTTGCCAATGAACATCTGAATGATTTAGAGGACAACTGGGTGAAAGTGTTGTGGTCAGATGAGACCAAAACCGAGCTCTTTGGTATCAACTCAACTTGCCGTGTTTGGAGGAGGAGGAATGCTGCCAATGACCCCAAGAACACCATCCCCACCGTCAAACATGGAGGTGGAAACATCATGCTTTGGGGGTGTTTTTCTGCTTTCTCCTTCCCTCAGCCAGGGCATTGAAAATGGGTCGTGGATGGATATTCCAGCATGACAATGACCCAAAACACATGGCCAAGGCAACAAAGGAGTGGCTCAAGAAGAAGCACATTAAGGTCCCGGAGTGGCCTAGCTAGTCTCCAGACCTTAATCCCATAGAAAATCTGTGGAGGGAGCTGACAGTTCGAGTTGCCAAACGTCAGGCTCGAAACCTTAATGACTTGGAGAAGATCTGCAAAGAGGAGTGGAACAAAATCCCTCCTGAGATGTGTGCAAACCTGGTGGCCAACTACAAGAAACGTCTGACCTCTGTGATTGCCAACAAGGGTTTTGCCACCAAGTACTAAGTAATGTTTTGCAGAGGGGTCAAATACTTATTTCCCTCATTAAAATGAAAATCAATTTCTAACATTTTTGACATGAGTTTTTCTGGATTTTTTTTGTTATTCTGTCTCTCACTGTTCAAATAAACCTACCATTAAAATTATAGACTGATCATGTCTTTGTCAGTGGGCAAACGTACAAAATCAGCAGGGGATCAAATTTGTTTTTCCCTCACTGTATGTATTATGTCATGTTTCATGTGGACCCCAGGAAGTGAAGCTGATGCTTTTACAGCGGCTAATGGGGATCCTAATGAATACCAAATACCTAATCACCAACCATACACCCTGAAAATGAAGAAATAGCAGAGCTCTCCCTCTGTGCCCCAACCCCCCATACACCCTGAAAATGAAGAACAATCTCCCTCTGTGCCTCAGCTCCTTAGTTAGCAGCTTCACTAGACCTCCCAGTGTATCCCATACAGCCCCTTAGGTCTTGTAGCTTATCCCAGTGTATCCCATACAGCCCCCTAGGTATTGCAGCTTCTCCCAGTGTATCCCATACAGCCCCCTAGGTATTGCAGCTTCTCCCAGTGTATCCCATGCAGCCCCTTAGGTCGTGCAGCTTCTCCCAGTGTATCCCATGCAGCCCCTTAGGTCGTGTAGCTTCTCCCAGTGTATCCCATGCAGCCCCTTAGGTCGTGTAGCTTCTCCCAGTGTATCCCATGCAGCCCCTTAGGTCGTGTAGCTTCTCCCAGTGTATCCCATGCAGCCCCTTAGGTCGTGTAGCTTCTCCCAGTGTACCCCATACAGCCCCCTAGGTATTGCAGCTTCTCCCAGTGTATCCCATGCAGCCCCTTAGGTCTTGCAGCTTCTCCCAGTGTATCCCATGCAGCCCCCTAGGTATTGCAGCTTCTCCCAGTGTATCCCATGCAGCCCCTTAGGTCGTGCAGCTTCTCCCAGTGTATCCCATGCAGCCCCTTAGGTCTTGCAGCTTCTCCCAGTGTATCCCATACAGCCCCCTATGTCTTGCAGCTTCATTAGCTAGTCTTCATCTACTGTATCCAATCAGACCATAGTGTTTAGTAGAGACCTAACCCACCTAACCCATCTAACCCATCTAACCCACCTAACCCATCTAACCCACCTAACCCATCAAACCCATCTAACCCACCTAACCCACCTAACCCATCTAACCCACCTAACCCATCTAACCCACTTAACCCACTTATCCCATCTAACCCACTTAACCCACTTAACCCATCTAACCCACCTAATCCATCTAACCCACCTAACCCATCTAACCCACCTAACCCACTTAACCCACTTATCCCATATAACCCACCTAACCCGCTTAACCCATCTAACCCACCTAATCCATCTAACCCACCTAATCCACCTAATCCATCTAACCCACCTAATCCACTTAACCCATCTAACCCACCTAACCCACCTAACCCATCTAACCCACCTAACCCACCTAATCCATCTAACCCACCTAACCCATCTAACCCACCTAATCCATCTAACCAATCTAACCCACTTAACCCATCTAACCCACCTAACCCATCTAACCCACCTAACCCACCTAATCCATCTAACCCATCTAACCCACTTAACCCATCTAATCCACCTAACCCACCTAACCCATCTAACCCACTTAACCCATCTAATCCACCTAACCCATCTAACCCACTTAACCCATCTAACCCACCTAACCCACCTCATCCACCTAACCCATCTAACCAATCTAACCCATCTAATCCACCTAACCCACCTAACCCATCTAACCCACTTAACCCATCTAACCCACCTAACCCATCTAACCCACCTAATCCACTTAACCCATCTAACCCACCTAACCCACCTAATCCATCTAACCCACCTAACCCACTTAACCCATCTAACCCACCTAACCCACCTAATCCATCTAACCCACCTAACCCACTTAACCCATCTAACCCACCTAACCCACCTAATCCATCTAACCCATCTAACCCACCTAACCCATCTAACCCACCTAACCCACCTAATCCATCTAACCCATCTAACCCACCTAATCCATCTAACCAATCTAACCCACTTAACCCATCTAACCCACCTAACCCATCTAACCCACCTAACCCACCTAATCCATCTAACCCATCTAACCCACTTAACCCATCTAATCCACCTAACCCACCTAACCCATCTAACCCACTTAACCCATCTAATCCACCTAACCCATCTAACCCACTTAACCCATCTAACCCACCTAACCCACCTCATCCACCTAACCCACTTAACCCATCTAACCCATCTAACCCACCTAACCCATCTAACCCATCTAACCCACCTAACCCATCTAACCTATCTAACCCATCTAACCCATCTAACCCATCTAACCCACCTAATCCATCTAACCCACCTAACCCATCTAACCCATCTAACCCACCTAACCCACCTAACCCACCTAACCCATCTAACCCATCTAAACCATCTAACCAATCTAACCCATCTAACCCATATTTAATTTTGTCCTTCTGTGTTCTTTCATATTTAATTCTTATAAATGTTATGTTTATGCATGTTAGGGTGAAAAGGAGTATCTAAGAGCTAGGCTGAATTGGTTGATGTCATGTCATCAGCTTCAGTATGAGTTGGGAACTATTTTAACATGGGTTTGGACAGTCAGTCATGGATTTACATTTGAGTCATTTAGCAGACACTCTTATCCAGAGATATGTACTGTATCTATACTGAACAAAATTATAAACACAACATGCAACAATTTCAAAGATTTGACTGAGTTATAGTTCATATAAGGAAATCAGTAAATTGAAATAAATGCATTAGGCCCTAATCTATGGATTTCACATGACTGGGAATACAGATATGCATCTGTTGGTCACAGATACAGTGGGGAAAAAAAGTATTTAGTCAGCCACCAATTGTGCAGGTTCTCCCACTTAAAAAGATGAGAGAGGCCTGTAATTTTCATCATAGGTACACGTCAACTATGACAGACAAAATGAGAAAAAAAATTCCAGAAAATCACATTGTAGGATTTTTAATGAATTTATTTGCAAATTATGGTGGAAACTAAGTATTTGGTCAATAATAAAAAGTTTCTCAATACTTTGTTATATACCCATTGTTGGCAATGACACAGGTCAAACATTTTCTGTAAGTCTTCACAAGGTTTTCACACACTGTTGCTGGTATTTTGGCCCATTCCTCCATGCAGATCTCCTCTAGAGCAGTGATGTTTTGGGGCTGTCGCTGGGCAACACGGACTTTCAACTCCCTCCAAAGATTTTCTATGGGGTTGAGATCTGGAGACTGGCTAGGCCACTCCAGGACCTTGAAATGCTTCTTACGAAGCCACTCCTTCGTTGCCCGGGCGGTGTGTTTGGGATCATTGTCATGCTGAAAGACCCAGCGACGTTTCATCTTCAATGCCCTTGCTGATGGAAGGAGGTTTTCACTCAAAATCTCACAATACATGGCCCCATTCATTCTTTCCTTTACACGGATCAGTCGTCCTGGTCCCTTTGCAGAAAAACAGCCCCAAAGCATGATGTTTCCACCCCCATGCTTCACAGTAGGTATGGTGTTCTTTGGATGCAACTCAGCATTCTTTGTCCTGCAAACACGACGAGTTGAGTTTTTACCAAAAAGTTATATTTTGGTTTCATCTGACCATATGACATTCTCCCAATCCTCTTCTGGATCATCCAAATACACTCTAGCAAACTTCAGACGGGCCTGGACATGTACTGGCTTAAGCATGGGGACACGTCTTGCACTGCAGTATTTGAGTCCCTTTCGGCGTAGTGTGTTACTGATGGTAGGCTTTGTTACTTTGGTCCCAGCTCTCTGCAGGTCATTCACTAGGTCCCCCCGTGTGGTTCTGGGATTTTTGCTCACCGTTCTTGTGATCATTTTGACCCCACGGGGTGAGATCTTGCTTCGAGGGAGATTATCAGTGGTCTTGTATGTCTTCCATTTCCTAATAATTGCTCCCACAGTTGATTTCTTCAAACCAAGCTGCTTACCTATTGCAGATTCAGTCTTCCCAGCCTGGTGCAGGTCTACAATTTTGTTTCTGGTGTCCTTTGACAGCTCTTTGGTCTTGGCCATAGTGGAGTTTGGAGTGTGACTGTTTGAGGTTGTGGACAGGTGTCTTTTATACTGATAACAAGTTCAAACAGGTGCCATTATAATAATAATAATAAGCAATTTAGCAGACGCTTTTATCCAAAGCGACTTACAGTCATGCGTGCATACATTTTTTTTGTGTATGGGTGGTCCCGGGGATCGAACCCACTACCTTGGCGTTATAAGCGCCGTGCTCTACCAGCTGAGCTACAGAGGACCACAGGTAACGAGTGGAGGACAGAGGAGCCTCTTAAAGAAGAAGTTACAGGTCTGTGAGAGCCAGAAATCTTGCTTGTTTGTAGGTGCCAAATACTTCTTTTCCACCATAATTTGCAAATAAATTCATTAAAAATCCTACAATGTGATTTTCTGGAGAAAAAAAATCTCACTTTGTCTGTCATAGTTGACGTGTACCTATGATGAAAATTACAGGCCTCTCTCATCTTTTTAAGTGGGAGAACTTGCACAATTGGTGGCTGACTAAATACATTTTTTCCCCACTGTACCTTAACAAAAAAAGGTAGGGGCGTGGATCAGAAAACCAGTCAGTATCTGGTGTAACCACCATTTGCCTCATGCAGTGCGACATAACTCCTTCGCATAGAGTTGATCAGGCTGTTGATTGTGGCCTGTAGAATGTTGTCCTACTCCTCTTCAATGGCTGTGCGAAGTTGCTAGATATTGGTGAGAACTGGAACACACTGTCGTACACGTTGATCCAGAGCATCCCAAACGTGCTCAATGGGTGACATGTCTGGTGAGTATGCAGGCCATGGAAAAACTGTAACATTTTCAGCTTCCAGGAATTGTGTACAGATCCTTGCGACCATAGGGCCGTGCATTATCATGCTGAAACATGAGGTGATGGCTGCGGATGAATGGCACGACAAGGCCTCAGGATCTTCAAATTGCCATAGATAAAATGCAATTGTGTTCATCGTCCGTAGCTTATGCCTGCCCGTACCATAACCCCACCGCCACCATGGGGCACTCTGTTCACAACGTTGACATTAGCAAACCGCTCGCCCACACGACGCCATACACGTGTTCTGCGGTTGTGAGGCCGGTTGGACGTACTGCCAAATTCTCTAAAACAACGTTTTATGGTAGAGAGGTGCACCTGTGTAATGTTAACTAACAGGGATGTAAACAAATTTGTGGCTAACATTTTTGAGAAATAAGCTATTTGTGCATATGGACAATTTCTGGGATGTTTTATTTCAGCTCATGAAACATGAAACCATCACTTTACATGTTGCGTTTATATTTTTGTTCAGTATATATTTATATATATGGTTCTGAGTTATGAAGAACATGGAAACCTATCAAACACTAGCCCTAAATTACTACCCAGACCCCAGACCCCAGACCCCTGACCCCTGACCCCTGACCCCTGACCTCTAACCTCTAACCTCTAACCTCTTCTTGGGAATGTCAGCTCTACACGCTTCTGGGCTGAATTACTGGATGCCAAATAGATTTCAAACCAACACTGACTGCTATGTCTGCAAATCATTGGAGGTAGAGGCCAGAGCCATTTATAGACATCCTGTGTATGTGTATGGCTCTGGTATTTGAAAGTACTCATACTGTAAGTGTACGGCCCTGGAATGGGAAAGTACTCATACGTAAGTGTACGGCTCTGGAATGGAAAAGTACTCAAACGTAAGTGTACGGCTCTGGAATGGGAAAGTACTCATACTGTAAGTGTACGGCTCTGGAATAGGAAAGTACTCATACTGTAAGTGTACGGCTCTGGAATGGGAAAGTACTCATACTGTAAGTGTACGGCTCTGGAATAGGAAAGTACTCATACTGTATGTGTACAGCTCTGGAATGGGAAAGTACTCATACTGTATGTGTACAGCTCTGGAATAGGAAAGTACTCATACTGTAAGTGTACATCTCTGGAATGGGAAAGTACTCATACTGTAAGTGTACGGCTCTGGAATGGGAAAGTACTCATACTGTAAGTGTACGGCTCTGGAATAGGAAAGTACTCATACTGTAAGTGTACATCTCTGGAATGGGAAAGTACTCATACTGTAAGTGTACATCTCTGGAATGGGAAAGTACTCATACTGTATGTGTACGGCTCTGGAATGGGAAAGTACTCATACTGTAAGTGTACGGCTCTGGAATAGGAAAGTACTCATACTGACAGTGTACATCAACATTTATTTTGCTCATTTGTACCCCAGTATCTCTATTTGCACATCATCTCTTGCACATCTATCATTCCAGTGTTAATACTAATTGTAATTATTTTGCACTATAGCCTATTTATTGCCTTACCTCCATAACTTGCTACATTTGCACACACTGTATATATATATTTATTTCTGTTGTATTTTTGACTTTGTTTTGTTTTACCCCATATGTAACTCTGTGTTGTTGTTTTTATCGCACTGCTTTGCTTTATCTTGGCCAGGTCGCAGTTGTAAATGAGAACTTGTTCTCAACTGGTTTACCTGGTTAAATAAAGGTGAAATAAATAGAAAAACATCTCTGGTATGGGAAAGTACTCATACTGTATGTGTACGGCTCTGGAATGGGAAAGTACTCATACTGTAAGTGTACGGCTCTGGAATGAGAAAGTACTCATACTGTAAGTGTACGGCTCTGGAATAGGAAAGTACTCATACTGTAAGTGTACGGCTCTGGTATGGGAATGTACTCATACTGTAAGTGTACGGCTCTGGTATGGGAAAGTACTCATACTGTAAGTGTCTACTACTTATTATGCTTGTTTAAAGTGAACTACAGGGTCATTTAGTAACACAAGCCTGTGTGATGTCTCAATCAGGGCTGGGATCAATTCCATTTCAATTTAGTCAATTCTGGAATTACGCTGAAATTCCAATCCAATTTTCCTCATTGCTTTTCAACTAATTTCAATTAAATACGTTGAAAAATACAAGAGTAAGAAAAAGAAGAATAAGAAACTATTTTAAATGAAATTGACCCCAACTGATTTGAAATGGAACTGACCTTAACCCTGGTGTCTTATTGGTGTTTCAGAGCCTTCCGTCAACTGAAATTTCAATTTTCCTAATTGTTTTTCAAGGAATTGGAATGTCAGTTTACTTCATGAATTTAATGTATTGAAATTGAATTGGATATTGGAAGTTTCTTATTGGTGTTTCAGAGCCTTCCATCAGCTCGTCGGACCACATCACGCTGCCCAGTGATCACCACAGCCTGCCCCTCACCCTGCAGTGCAACTTAACTGCAGCCCAAGGTGCCCACATCGAGAGCTTCTGGATGAAGAATGGGGAGGAGATCGAAGAGACCCGCGGAGAGAGAGCCAACACTGAGTACTAGTAGGTCCCTATCTATAACCCATAACCCTAACCTTAACTCTAACTCTAACCTAACTTACCTTAACCACTAAACCCTACCTCTAAAAACCTTAACCTAACTTAACTCTACCTTAACCCTAACTCGAACCTTAACCCTAACCTTAACTCTACCCCTTACCTACCCTACCTTAACCACTAACCTTAACTCGAACCTGACCCTAACCCTATCCTTAACTCTAACCCTAACCCCTAACCCTAACCTTAACCCTACCTACCCTAACCTTAACTCTAACCCTAACCTTAACCCTAACCTTAACCCTAACTCTAACGCTTACTCTAACTCGAAAACCTAACCCTACTCTACCTTAACTCTAACTCTAACCTTACCCTAACTCTAACCTTAACCTATCCCTACCCTAACTCTAACCCTAAACCAACCTAACCCAACTCGAACTACTAACCAACCGTAACCCTAACCTAACCCAACCTTAACCTAACGCAACCCTAACCCTAAACCTTAACCTAACCGTAACCCTAACCGGCAACCTAACCTAACCTTAACTCAACGCTAACCTAACCCAACCTTAACCAACACCTACAACCGAACCGTAACCCAACTCTAACGCTAACCTAACCTTAACCCAACCGAACCGTAACCTAACCCTAACCTAACCTGAACCTAACCTAACCCGAACCCTGACCTTACCTTAACTCTAACCTAACCTAACCCAACCCTAACCCTAACCCTACCTAACCTAACCGAACCTAACCCTAACCTAACCCTTACACTAACCTAACCTAACCCTAACCCTAACCGAAAACCTTAACCTTAACACCCTAACCCTAACCCTTAACCTGTAACTCTAACCTTAAACCTAACCAACTAACCTAACCCTTACCTACTCTAACCTGAAACCCAACCCTAACCCTAACCCTTACCTTAACTCTAACCTTAACCCTAACCCTAACTCTAACCTTAACCTTAACCCTAACCCTAACCCTAACCCTTACCTTAACTCTAACCTTAATCCTAACCCTAACCCTAACCCTTACCTTAACTCTAACCTTAACCCTAACCCTAACCCTAACCCTTACCTTAACTCTAACCTTAACCCTAACCCTAACTCTAACCTTAACCTTAACCCTAACCCTAACCCTAACCCTAACCCTTACCTTAACTCTAACCTTAATCCTAACCCTAACCCTTACCTTAACTCTAACCTTAACCCTAACCCTAACCCTAACCCTTACCTTAACTCTAACCTTAACCCTAACCCTAACTCTAACCTTAACCTTAACCCTAACCCTAACCCTAACCCTTACCTTAACTCTAACCTTAATCCTAACCCTAACCCTAACCCTTATCTAATCAGAACGGACAAAGACACCCTTCACAACTACCACACCCAGGCAGATAGACAGGACAACCTCACTTGTATAGAGAGACAAGCCATAAAAGAACTTATAAACAACCCTCACATAATATTGAAACCAGCAGATAAGGGATCAAAAACAGTGATCCTAGACAAACATCAATACACATATGAGGCAAACAGACAGTTATCCAACACCAAGTACTATGTACCTATAGAAGACAGCCTACAACCACAGACTCAGACTAAGCTACGCCGAATCATACAAACACTTTATGATAAACGGTACATCAATAAGAAACAACGAGACTTTCTATTTGGACCAGACACCCCACGACCCAGACTGTTTTACCTACTTTGTAAAATTCACAAAGAACCAGACACCTGGACAATTCCCCATGAAGTTCCTCCTGGCAGGCCCATCGTATCAGACTGCAATAGTGAATCGTACAACATAGCTCAATATATTGACCATCATATCAACCCTCTCTCCACTAGACACCCCAGCTACCTCAGAGACACTTACCACTTCCTTGAGAAGATTAAACCCATAGTTGTTCCCTCCCAAACATACATATTCACTATAGACATTGATAGCTTATATACCAACATAAATACAGCAACAGGAATACAGACGGTTAGAAATCTACTCCATGCACACCCAGATAGGAATAGACCAGACAATGAATTACTACAATTATTAGAAATTAGTCTCACACACAACGATTTTATATTCAATGATAGGCACTACTTGCAGGTGGAGGGAACGGCTATGGGGAAGAAATTTGCCCCTGCATATGCAAACATCTACATGGCTGAATGGGAGAGAGAGGCATTGGCCAAGTGCCCACATCAACCCACATTTTATTACAGATTTCTAGACGACATCATAGGAGCCTGGCCTCATGACATCCAACTATTCACTGAATTCATCAGCATTCTCAACAGTCATCACCCGTCCATTAAGGTTAAATACACAATAGATCCATGTGAAGTAAATTTCTTGGATACCACAGTATTCTTTAATCAGATAAATCAATCCCAAAAAACATTACTCACTAAAGTTTATTTCAAACCAACAGATACACATGCTCTACTCCATAAACAGAGTTATCATCCCAAACATACATTTAAAGGCATCGTCAAATCCCAAATTATACGGTTCCATAGGATATCCTCCTGTAAAAAGGATCTGGACACAGCAATTCAAACACTATTTCATGCACTTAGACAAAGAGGCTACTCAAAACGATACCTCAGAACCATAAAAACCAGTACCTTGGCGGCCCTCTCTCCCATTCAGCTAACACACCCACAAAACACAAGTCTGTCAATCACTCTTTCTGACCACAACTCTCATTACACAGGTTCTGGAGGCACTTCCAAATCCCCCCCTTCCCCTGACCTTAACCCTGACCCTAACTTTAACCCTTACCCTAACCCGGGTTCGTATCCTGCTCCCGCCCCTGACCCTTACCCTAACCCGGGGTCGTATCCTGTTCCAACTCCTTACCCCACCCCCAACCCTAACCCCAACCCTAACCCTAACCCTAACCCTACCCCCAACCCTATACCTAACCCTACTCCTAACCCTAACCCTAACCTTAACCCTTACCCTAACCTGGGTTCGTATCCTGTTCCCACCCCTAACCCTACTCCTAACCCTAACCCTGACCCTAACCTTAACCCTTACCCTAACCCGGGTTCGTATTCTGTTCCAACTCCTAACCCTACCCCCAACCCTACTCCTAACCCTAACCCTACCCCCAACCCTACTCCTAAACCTAACCCTAACCCTACTCCTAACCCTAAACCTACCCCCAACCCTACTCCTAACCCTAACCCTGACCCTGACCCTAACCTTAACCCTTACCCTAACCCGGGTTCGTATCCTGTTCCCACCCCTAACCCTACTCCTAACCCTAACCCCACCAAAACCCCCCCCTCTCAGAATCACAACCTTCTCTCCTCCTCTGATTCCTCTTCCAATCAGCAGACAATCCTTATCCCCTTAGTCACTACATTCTCACATAGGATCAGACCGCTACATCAGGCATTCAAGCATAATTTTCTCATTACTCAACAGGCATACACACCCTTCCAGCCATATAGAATTATCTCAGCATTCAGAAGGAATAAGAGTCTCAAAGACGTCCTAATCAAAGCAAAATACAGCACTAAGCCCCCACAACCACCCAAACCTCACACGGCCCACTTCAAACCAAGAAAATTCATTTCAAATCCACACAGCAAGACCTCCACTCCAGTTCTAGACTCTATCTCACTCAACACTCCAAATGTCATTTATATAATTACCTGTACATTATGCAAAAAACACTACATCGGGGAAACTCAGTATACAATAGAAACTAGACTTAAACAACATCTATACAACATCAAACGGGCCCATCTACACACAGAACTAGTCACTCATTTCCAGGATCACCCCATCACTTACCTCAATATATCCGGCTTACAGTCATGTTCTGGGTGGACCAGTGGGCGGCGAAAAGCAGTGGAACGTGGGTGGATAGGAGATCTTCAAACAATTACACCCATCGGTCTGAATGAGCGTTTTTAACCAGTTAGATGGGATCAATCGAAAGGGATAGCACTTGTTTACAGGGATCTCAAGGAGGTGAAAGAAGGATACACTATTTAAACAAAAAATAAAGTTTAAGTGGTTTTGTCTAATATTTAATATTTGCATGCTTATCTTAAATAGTTTTATTCCTTCCTTTTTTAGGTATTTGATTTTGTTTTGACATTTTAGCACTTTATCTCTTAGCACTTTGTCTTCTAGCGCTTATATATGTGGATATAATTGTGTTTGTATATGTATTATTAAAGCATCTATCCCCTGATCCCTTGTATATTTTAATATCTCAGTCCCTTCATGGTCCTAGATAACCACTCAGACTATCATTTAGAAACAATAATAACCTACTTACTTTTGGTAAGTTTGGAGGGGGTAATCTAGATAATTTTAACAGTTGAATGGTTTATAGCATTATATTGGAGGGGCACACAACAATAGGCCTGCGCACCACAAGACAAACCAGTCTCTTTTTAACCCTACCCTAATTCAAAACCTAACCCTTACCTTAACTCTAACCTTAACCCTAACCCTAACCCTAACCCTTACCTTAACTCTAACCTTAACCCTAACCCTAACTCTAACCTTAACCTTAACCCTAACCCTAACCCTAACCCTTACCTTAACTCTAACCTTAATCCTAACCCTAACCCTAACCCTAACTCTAACCTTAACCTTAACCCTAACCTTAACCCTAACCTTAACCCTAACTCTAACCTTAATCCTAACCTTAACTCTAACCTTAATCCTAACCCTAACCCTAACCCTACTCTAACCTTAACTTTCCATATTAGATCTTATTGGGTGTGATATTCAAGGGTTTTCTCTTTCATATAGAGAGGGGTGAGAACAATTTAACTGTAGAACAACAACAGGCTTTAAAAAAGCTGAGACATAATCAAGATATAGTTATTAAACTTGCAGACAAGGGATTTAAAATAGTGATAATGGATCAAACTTCGACACCTCATAGAGGCTAATAGACAATTGAAAAACCCTAAGCATTCTCAGTCTCTACAATTGGAAACTCAAAGTATGAGTGTGTAAAGAGTTGTATATGATTGAGTGTGTAAAGTGTTGTATATGATTGAGTGTGTAAAGTGTTGTATATGATTGAAAGTGTAAAGTGTTGTATATGATTTAGTGTGTAAAGTGTTGTATATGATTGAGTGTGTAAAGTGTTGTATATGATTGAGTGTGTAAAGTGTTGTATATGATTGAGTTGGTAAAGTGTCCTGCATCGGTAGAGCAGATAAACTGACAGAGTTGTATGTGCACTTCCGCACACATGGTAGGGAGTTGAACAATAGCAGGCCTTGAGTCTGGTGGTCCAAGGCCCAGAGGCTGCCCTCAGAATGGCGGTGGATGCAAAGGTTGGGGACCACGGTCCCTAACAGCCTCAATGAGATAGAATAAACGTTTCTCGGACTACGATGGTTTGATATAATGACACTGGGGGAGTTGATGATGGACCCAATACCTTCCATTTTTTAAATGATTTATTAAAACCTATTTGGAGGGGATGGGAGATTGCCTTGCAGGTTTTAGGGGGGGGGGGGGGGGGGGAGCATAAGGCACTTATCTGTCTTCCTATTTTCTTATTAGATGTAATAAAGCACTTATTGGTTAATAAAGTAGATGGGTTGGACCCTCTTGTCTCTCCCCCAGTGTAGGAACTTAAAAATATTTTTTGATGATTGATTGGGGGCTTGGAGCACCCTTTGCAATCCTCTCCCTGAACTTCCCCCCTCAGACCTATTTAGTATTGTGTTGAGGATCCCCACATGTCACGAGGGAGACAGGGGTTCATTTCTCTGATGGGGAGGATTGAACATATAAGTGTTGATTAACATTGAAAAGATCCTCTCTACTGTGTTGTATTTCTGGGGGTTTCTTGATGTTTGTTTTGTGTAAATCCAGCCTGAAGAAGCCCCGAGGAGAGGATGCAGGGGAGTACATGTGTGTCTACACCTTCAATATGGACCTGCCTGCTAACGCCACCATCGAGATTAAAGGTACGACCTATCTGTAACCCTCTGTTAACATAACATAGTGTTGTATGGGGTTAGCCACACCATCGAGATTAAAGGTACAGTACGACTCCCACCCACCAGTGTTGAATGGTAATGGATATGATTGATCCTAGACTGATGCATCATTCCAAGGCGCTATGATGACCTAATATGACGCCCAAGGCCACATTTATGTGTTATCTTTAAACAGCACTGTCATATAGTCCTGGAAATAGCGCCTTTCATAGAGCCCCCCAGCCTACACAAGTGTCACGATCGTCATGGAGAGACCAAGGCGCAGCGTTGCGGGTGAATATATTATATATTTATTTAATGATCACACGATCAAAACAACAAACGAAAAACGTGACGTCTATGGTTTAAACACAAACCAACACGAACAAGAAACCACAAACACAACGTGAAAGACAGACAGTTAAATATGGCTCCCAATCAGAGACACCCAGCTGACACTCGTTGCCTCTGATTGGGAGTCACTCAGACCAACATAGAAAAATCAAACATAGAATTACACACCCTGGCTCAACATAACATTGTCCCCAGAGCCAGGGCGTGACAGTACCCCCCCCCCCTAAAGGCGCGGACTCCGACCGCGCCAACTAAATCCCACAGGGGAGGGACCGGGTGGGCACTCCGCCTAGACGGCGGATCCGGCTCCGGACATGACCCAGGCACGGGTTGTGCTGGACTGACGACGCGCACCCCTGGCTTGGTGCGTGGAGGAGGAACGGGCCTTACCAGGCTGACGACGCACACCGTAGGCTTGGTGGAGCAGGGACAGGCCGGACTGGGCTGACGAAGCACACCACTGACTTGGTGCGGGGAGCAGGAACGGGCCGAGCCGGGCTGACGAAGCGCACCACTGCCTTGGTGCGGGGAGCAGGAATGGACCGGACCGGGCTGACGAAGCGCACCCCTGGCTTGGTGCGGGGAGCAGGAATGGGCCGGACCGGGCTGACGACGCGCACCACTGACTTGGTGCGGGAAGCAGGAATGGGCCGGACCGGGCTGACAACGCGCACCACTGACTTGGTGCGGGGAGCAGGAATGGGCCGGACCGGGCTGACGACGCGCACCACTGACTTGGGGCGGGGAGCAGGAACGGGCCGCGCCGGGCTGACGAAACGCACCACTGACTTGGTGGGAGTGGCAGGAACAGGCCGGACCGTACTGGGAACACACACCACTGGCCCTACTTGAGGATCAGGAACAGGCCGGACCGGACTGGCAACACACGCCAGTACCTCTCGCCGTGCCTCTACAACCTCCTTCCCCCTGGTGGCCAGTGACTCCCGTAACCTGGCGGCCTCCTCTGCCAACCCGCTGGACCGCTCTATCGCGGCCTCCTGCTGCCCCGACGTCGTGAGCCCCCCCCCTAAAAATTTTCTGGGGGTCTCTCCTCCCCGTGGGCCAGGCCTCCATCGTTCTCGCTCCTCTGTCTCCAACTCTCACCATTCAGCTCCTCAATGGGCTTGACCCAGTCGAAGCTCCTCCTCAACTGGTCCCAAGTCCACCCTCTCTGCTCCTCACTAGGCTTGACCCAGTCGAGGCTGCCACGGAGATCTGCCAGCGATGGCTCCTGGACACGCTGCTTGGTCTGGTTTAGGTGGTTTCTTCTGTCACGATCGTCATGGAGAGACCAAGGCGCAGCGTTGCGGGTGAACATATTATATATTTATTTAATGATCACACGATCAAAACAACAAACGAAAAACGTGACGTCTATGGTTTAAACACAAACCAACACGAACAAGAAACCACAAACACAACGTGAAAGACAGACAGTTAAATATGGCTCCCAATCAGAGACACCCAGCTGACACTCGTTGCCTCTGATTGGGAGTCACTCAGACCAACATAGAAAAATCAAACATAGAATTACACACCCTGGCTCAACATAACATTGTCCCCAGAGCCAGGGCGTGACAACAAGACCTGGGTTCAAATACTATTTCAGGTATTTCAATTAACTTTTCAATATATTTCCAAAACAAGTGTTCAAATAACCTTTATTTGAAAAAAACAAGTAGTACAATATTGGAATGTATTTGGAAATACACTTGGAAAATATTTGAAAATACTCAAATACACTGACTCAAATACACTCCCATGCAATGAACCCAGGTATTTGAAAATATTATTTGAAAAAAAGTATTTAAAAATACTTACAAATACAATTGGGTCAACTATTTGGTTTTTACAAATAACCATTCAAATACTCAAATAAAAGTACTTGTTTTGGGCTGTGTATTTGAAAATACTCTAAAACACAGAAAAAAGTATTTAAATAACAAATACTAAAATACACATGTATTTGTCCCCAGGTCTGGCCTACACCACCATTGAGTGTTGAATGTTAGACCGTTTATTAGGTACACCTCGTTCACGAAAATGGATCGCTCCTACAAACAGTGAGTCACGTGGCCGTGGCTTGCTACTGTATATAAAGCAGGCAGGCAGGCATCGAGGCATTCAGTTACTGTTCGATTGAACGTTAGAATGGGCGAAAGGAGTGACCTAAGCGACTTTGAGCGTAGTATGATCGTCAGTGCCAGGGGCGCCGGATCCAGTATCTCAGAAATGGCCGCCCTCCTGACACGACAGTGTCTAGGGTTTACTGAGAATGGTGCGACAAACAAAAAACATCCAATCAGCGGCAGTCCTGTGGGCGAAAACAGCTAGTTGATGAGAGAGGTCGAAGAAAAATGGCAAAAATCGTGCAAGCTAACAGGCGGGCCACAAACAGACAAGTAACGGTGCAGTACAACAGTGGTGTGCAGAACGGCATCTCGGAATTCGTCGATCCTTGTCACTGATGGGCTATTGCAGCAGACGACCTCACCGGGTTCCACTCCTATCAGCTAAAAACAAGAAGAAGCGGCTCCAGTGGGCATGTGACTCACCAAGTGAGTGGAAAAACATTGCCTGGTCCGACGTAAGCTGTTGCGTCATGCTGATGGCAGAGTCATGATTTGGCGTGGCTATAACATGTAGTGGGCAGTAATATTTGATACACTACATTATATAAACATCACATGCGACTTGTAATAAGACTAAGCAATTAGCCTACTAAAATGTTTATCTGACTCCATAAAGACAGTTAGCAATATGCAAGAGACGATAGTCGAGTTTACAATAGTAGGCAATGAGGAAATGTCTGAGAACGGAATTCTAAATACAAGAGTATTTCATTACTTAAGTTACAAGGCATTATTCTGAGAGAGGGAGGGAGAGAGAGAGAGAGAGAGAGACAAAGAAACCAAGGCTTGTGCCATGGTCCATAGCTCATGGGGGAGAGAGAGAAAGAGTGTAGGTATCTCACCACAGCAAGTCTGGAACATAAGATAAATCATCTTTAATCTAAGGCCCTTTTATAAGCATCTGAGTTGTTTGGATTCAGAATCTGAGTTGTTGACCAATAGCATTACTGTAAAGGTAACATCTATAGATCTATACACAGTACAGGAAATGGGCTGGATCGCCCCACATCTATAGATCTATACACAGTACAGGAAATGGGCTGGGTCGCCCCACATCTAAAGATCTATACACAGTACAGGAAATGGACTGGGTTCCCCTACATCTATAGATCTATACACAGTATAGGATTCTTTTATTTTTTTTATTTTATTTAACCTTTATTTAACTAGGCAAGTCAGTTAAGAACAAATTCTTATTTACAATGACGGCCTACACCGCCAAACCTGGACGACACTGGGCCAATTGTGCGCCGCCCTATGGGACTCCCAATCACGGCCGGTTGTGATACAACCTGGAATCGAACCAGGGGGTCTGTAGTGACGCCTCAAGCACTGAGATGCAGTGCCCTAGACCGCTGTGCCACTCGGGAGCCCTACATCTATAGGTCTATATACAGTATGGGAAATGGGCTGGGTCACCCCACATCTATAGGTCTATATACAGTATGGGAAATGGGCTGGGTCACCCCACATCTATAGGTCTATACACAGTACAGGAAATGGGCTGGGTCACCCCACATCTATACGTCTTTATTATGTGATAACATGGTATTAGTACTAAAACGTATCATTGCCTTCCTTTTTTTTTTAAATGTCCTTTGTTCTCATTGGTCGTTTCCCCTCATTCCAGCTGGTCCTGACATCATAGGCCACAAGCGTAGTGACAATAAGAATGAGGGTCAGAAAGCCCTGCTGTACTGTAAGGCCACGGGATACCCTTACCCTATCTGGACCTGGCGCAAACTGGACAACGGGTTCTACATGGTACGTTCTTCTTCTTCTTCTTCTTCTTCTTCTTCTTCTTCTTCTTCTTCTTCTTCTTCTTCTTCTTCTTCTTCTTCTTCTTCTTCTTCTTCTTCTTCTTCTTCTTCTTCCCATGACCATCATTCCTCATGGCACAACCATAATCACATCTCTCTCCCCCTCCCTCTCCCCACAGGACATCAACAACTCCTCCGGTCGTTTCTTCATTAACAACAAAGACAACTACACTGAGCTGAGCATCATCAACCTGGACATCGGCTCCGACCCAGGGGAGTACCAGTGTAACGCCACCAACATATTCGGAACCTCGTCCATCGTGTCTGTGCTGCGGGTCCGGAGCTACCTGGCCTGGCTTTGGCCTCTGCTGGGCGTCCTGGCCGAGGTCATCATCCTGGTCATCATCATCGTGGTCTACGAGAAACGCAAGAAGCCAGACGACATTCAAGATGGTGAGTCGGAGTCAGAGCATATCAGCCATGGCGGCCATTTTGGTTTTCTGGTTTGTGGTTCGTTCTCCTCATTTCAATGTTGTTTTTGTTGTTGTTTGTGGTCTAATATAGTTTGCAGATGGAGGAGAAAAACAATAATCAACGTTATTCAATACTGCAGAATACTTCAGCGAATGAGTTAATACTCAATTCCATAATCATAGTTATCTCTGTATATGGAGGAATCCTTGCCAAACAGCTGTTGACCTAACAACCAGTGATGTAGTGGAGGGTTAACTCAAGTACTCTCAGTTTACCCTTCTATTAACCCACAGTGTTCAGGGTTTACCCTCCTATTTACCCACGGTGTTCAGGGTTTACCTTCCTATTAACCCACAGTGTTCAGGGTTTACCCTCCTATTTACCCACGGTGTTCAGGGTTTACCCTCCTATTAACTCACAGTGTTCAGGATTTACCCTCCTATTTACCCATGGTGTTCAGGGTTTACCTTCCTATTAACTCACAGTGTTCAGGTTTTACCCTCCTATTAACCCACAGTGTTCAGCGTTTACCCTCCTATTAACCCACGGTGTTCAGCGTTTACCCTCCTATTAACCCACGGTGTTCAGCGTTTACCCACCAAATTGTTACCACTACATCCTTGCTAACAACGTCCCAGCAGGCCTAATCAAATTACCCATGAATATTCAATCTGTTAGATTGTCCTGACAAGGTGTGTCCTACAGCAACAGTGGTATGTGTGCGTGTGTGTTGGGTGAAGCTACTCAGACTGAATTATTGAGTGCAAGGTGTAGCCAGTATAGTGTCAGGTAACGACAGAGCAGATGTCTACTGCCCTACAAAGGCTGCCCTACAAAGGCTGCCCTACAAAGGCTGCCCTACAAAGGCAAAACGCAGTAACTGCGTAATTTTCTTAAACTGCAAAATCTGACTTCAAAGTATTTTTGGGTCTAGACCGACTGCAATTTCTGATACTCCATGATATATTCTGATCAACTGGCTTGTTCTTGTGTCAGGAAACTAAATACCACATTAATCAGATAATATACCTGGCCATACCTGATTTTTGACCAAATTCATAGTTACTGCCTTTTTGTAGGGCAGTACTGTGAAGGTCACACACACACACACACACACACACACACACACACACACACACACACACACACACACACACACACACACACACACACACACACAGTACACCTTAGTGAATATATATTAGCAGTGCTAAAACAAGTTTAGAATATACAATTAGGGTACTACTGTGTAATATCTTCCCCCCTCTTTCCCAAATTGCTTAACCCAACCTATGTTTGGTAAGTGAGAGACTCTGCATGCCTCCTGAGTTTCAATCAGCGTCTAAGCTTATGTCCAAACCATCCATGCTAGCCTGGTCCCAGATTGGTTTGTGCTATGTAGCTTACTTCTGTGGTTGTTGTCATGCCAAACAATGACCATAGGAGTTGGCAAGACAGTACAAACAGATCTGATCCCAGGCTACATCCACACAACATTCTGTACATGCATCTATCCCCAGTGGGCAAGATTTGGCACGTGATGTGAAACGGACATCATTTTCTGGTTTTAAACTGATTTTCTGGTTGAGAGGATGTCATATTACTAGATTACAATCAAACAGTGTCTGTAAAGATGTTTTTGTTTCATGACGGCATCAAGACGTCATCAAGATGTCATATTTTGGTTGTTATCTGGTCATATAACCAGTTTTGCTAACTGGGTTTTCTTTAGAACCTTAAAATAGAATTCATCTTACCTTGCTGCTTAGGCTCCTTCTCAATGGAAGTTCACAGTCAGACAGCTTGTATTAAACAAAAAAAAAAAGTATATCGTGCCAGGGTCACCTTCAAGGTCACCTTCAAGGTCACCTTCAAGTTCACCTTCAGGGTCACCTTCAAGGGCATCTTCAGTTTTCAATGGATTGTATTCCCTATTTTATGCTAGTAGCATAATATACTTTTGTAAGGAGTCAATTAATATAATATAATATATGCCATTAAGCAGAAGCGTTTATCAAAAGCGGCTTACAGTCCTGCGTGCATACATTTTTTGTATGGGTGGCCCCAGCAGGAATTGAACCCATGCTCCTTGGCATTGCAAGCACCATGCTCTACCAACTGAGGCACACAGGACTAACATTGTTTTCTTTGTGCTGGTCAGTTTCGATGCAGTGAGTGAATAGACTTTTGTGCGCAGTTTGTCTGTCTATGCATGTATGTTTTTAACAAAAAGGAATTTAAACTTCTGCTTGAACTTCATAATCACTTTCTCATCTCATGTGGGTTTTGTGGCTCTTTTTGACTGCATTTGGTGTGATTGTGACTGTGAGTGTCCTTCCCTGTGAAGTTTAAAGATGGCTTCCATTCAGTATAGGGCCTATTCACTAATTAACTTCTTCAACTGCCATTCCATCCCATCAGCATGGTTAGTTCATTCACTTATGGAATTTATGGAACTTCATTTAATTCCAATTATGGAATTTAATTTCATCCATTTATGGAACTAGTGGAACTTAATTTAATCCATTTATGGAACTAGTGGAACTAAGGTAAATTCCAAAATGATGGAATTATGTAATACACAAAACTGTCTATGAACATCATTCAACCAAGCCTCCAACCAGACAATGTGTTAGTCATATTACCACTGTAACACATTGCTTCTTTTTTAAGCATACTGTACTTTCTACCACAAACATTTCACCACCAGCATGCACCATTTTCTTCCTGTCATTTTATCAGAATATATTTTCTGATGATAATCTAAAACAAAGGCTTTTTTTGTGTCTTCATTTTCTCCCATGTTTTTATGCATCAGATGACGAACCAGCCGGACCAATGTAAGTGCATCCATGTTACAATCATTTCCTGATTTAGGAGTCTATTTATGGTGCTGTAGTATTTTCGTGTTGTAGCTGTTTCTGTAAACTGCTGTACACCATAGTTGGGCTCAATTCTATTTAAATTCAGAAAGTAAACTGAAATATAATCTTAATTAATTCCTAATTGAACCCTGGTGTAAATTGCCTCTAAGTCATGCATACGTTGTATTCTACAAACCTTTTTTTAATGATAAGTAGACGTAACGTTTTTGACCAATGACCAGCAATCAGGTGTATTATCAGTGTATTGGCTTTGTTTTGATGGTAACCTAACTGGGTCTGTGTGCATCCTATCACAGGAAAACGAACTCCACCAACAACCACAAAGACAAGAACCTTCGTCAGAGGAACACAAACTGAGCAGATTGACGTCTCATTATTAGTGAGTATTTATCCTCTCTGGAGTCAGCGCCAGTAGTTGTCTGGTCAATACCAAGAGAAAGAAATGAGCTGGCAACCATTTTGTTTTCCCAAGTTCATGTTGTTTACTTCATCATGTAGCCAGGCTGCGATAGCAATAACCTGTCAATCACCACAGATAGTCAATCACATGTTGTGCAGGAAATCAGTATTGCAAAAAAAGGTTAGCCTACTTTATCAGTAACTTGTAATCATATATCTTCCTGTCAATGCGACAGACAGACAGACAGACAGACAGACGGTCAGACAGACAGACAGACGGTCAGACAGACAGACGGTCAGACAGACAGACAGACAGACAGACAGACAGACAGACGGTCAGACAGACAGACAGACAGACAGACAGACAGACAGATGTTGTGATGTGTAACTATCAGAGTTGGGGTCCCAACCCATTTCGATAAATCCGCAAAGTAAAGTAAATTGACTGAATTGAAATGGAATTCGTCCCCAACCCTGGTGCCAATACAAACAAAGCAACTTGACTTGCACAATAGAACACACTAATAACATGCTTCCACTTTTTCTTTCCACAGATAATAACATATTCTACATGTATGTATTGACCATATGAAGGTAACCAGGAGAGGGATCCATAGCAGTGTGTTAATAAGAGTGATGATATCTGCCATTAAAGTATGTAGAGGGGGAGGAGGAGCTACGAGGCATGCCTTCTGATTTCATTATCTATCTATCGTGTGATGAGGGTGAAGAATGTGATCAATGAATGTGATCCCATAACATTATGAATGGTTTATGAAGTGTCTATGAAGCATTATAACCATTGTTGCTGCATGCAGTTATTGATTGTTGCTGTTTATTTATTTATGTATTATTTATTCTTATCAGATTCCATTTCTACTAATTCTGAAGTAATGCGTGCAATGTTCTGTTTGGCGCAGACATTACATATTTTTTTGCTCTCTGTCTCAAATGGCACCCTATTCCCTATATAGTACACTACTTTAGACCATGGCCCACAGGGTTCTGGTCAAAAGTAGTGTACTATATAGGGCAGGGGTATTCAATTCTTACCCTACGAGGTCCGGAGCACTGCTTGTTTTCCTGTTCTACCTGATAATTATTTGCACCCACCTGGTATCCCAGGTATAAATCAGTCCCTGATTACAGGGGAATAATGGGAAAAAAATGAATTTGAGGGATACACTTTTAGAATAGAAGGTGCTACCTAGAACCTAAAAGGGTTCTTCGGGTGTCCCCATAGGAGAACCCTTTGAAGAACCCTTTTTGCTTCGAGGTAGAACCCTTTTGGTTCATGGATCCCAAAAGAGTTCTACCTGGAACCAAAAAGGGTTCTCCTATGGGGACATCCAAAGAACCCTTTTGGAACCCATTGTTCTAGGAGTGTGTAGGGAAGAGGGAGCCATTTGGGACGCAGACTTGTTTTTTTTACTTTGGGAGTGGCTTCATGTTGACGATAATCAACTATTTAATCACTATTTATTTGTGTTGACTATGATAATCTAAAGACTTTGCAATGTAAAAGAAAAACACCAGAGATTATAATCTGGTATGACAGTAAATCTGTACAGTTGATCATTCTGCTGCATACTATTTTATAAGTTGGTAACTTGTTTAACATTTCATCAGATTATATCTGTTTTACATTTTAATAAGGGCTTTGCAATGTCCCTGTCTTTTGACTTTGATTGAGAATTCCTATGTTCTGTATGTATGTCTTTATGAAATCACCTTATATAATGATATTTGAAGGATATTCATTCATAAGATGCACTTAAGTGTTGAAAAATAATGGGAATTAAAAAATCTGTATGAATTTCATTCAGTAGCTAAGTAACTGAACTACGCCCAATCCTAACCCTATTGCTAAAGTATGTGTATTGTGTATAGCATGGCTATTATCCTATGCAATAATAATCAATATTGATATTCATATATACAAGTCCCTCTTAGCAGTTTTAGATTTTACTGAGTAAGAAAGCTTTATTAGAGCGTTGATGGATACCGTACTGCTCAGCTGTATGTTGATCTGTAATCACCTTTAGAGCGTTGATGGATACCGTACTGCTCAGCTGTATGTTGATCTGTTATCACCTTTAGAGCGTTGATGGATACCGTACTGCTCAGCTGTATGTTGATCTGTTATCACCTTTAGAGCGTTGATGGATACCGTACTGCTCAGCTGTATGTTGATCTGTTATCACCTTTAGAGCGTTGATGGATACCGTACTGCTCAGCTGTATGTTGATCTGTTATCACCTTTAGAGCGTTGATGGATACCGTACTGCTCAGCTGTATGTTGTATCAGTTGATCTCTATAGATGATAATGATATACATCTATACAGTGCTTTCAGAAAGTATTCACACCCCTTTGACTTATTCCACATTTTGTTGTGTTACAGCCTGAATTCAAAATTGATTAAATATTATACACTTATTGAAAATGAAATACAGAAATATATCATTTACATAAGTATTCACACCCCTGAGTCAATACATGTTAGAATCACCTTTGGCAGCGATTACAGCTGTGAGTCTTTCTGGGTAAGTCTCTAAGAGCTTTGCACACCTGGACTGTACAATATTTGAACATGATTCTTTTTTAAATGATTCAAGCTCTGTCAAGTTGGTTGTTGATCATTGCTAGACAGCCATTTTAAAGTATTGCCATATATTTTCAAGCTGATTTAAGTCAAAACAGTTACTAGGCCACTCAGTAACATTCAATGTCATCTTGGTAAGCAACTCCAGTGAATATTTGGCCTTGTGATTTAGGTTATTGTCCTGCTGAAAAGTGAATTTGTCTCCCAGTGTCTGGTGGAAAGCAGACTGAACCAGGTTTTCCTCTAGGATCTTTGCCTGTGCTTAGCTCCATACCGTTTATTTTTATCCCCAAAAAAACGTCCCAGTCCTTTACGATGACAAAGATTTTCCCCAAACATAACGCTTTGTATTCAGGACATAAAGTTCATTTCTTTGCCACATTTTTCCTTTAGTGCCTCATTGCAAACAGGATGCATGTTTTGGAATATTGTTATTATGTACAGGCTTCCTTCTTTTCACTCTGTCATTTAGGTTAGTTTTGGGGAGTAACTACAATGTTGTTGATTCATCCTCAGTTTTCTCCTATCACAGCCATTAAACTCTGTAATTGTTTTTAAGTCACCATTGGCCTCATGGTGAAATCCCTGAGCGGTTTCCTTCCTCACCAGCAACTGAGTTAGGAAGGGCACCTGTATCTGTGTAGTGACTGGGTGTATTGATACACCATCCAAAGTGTAATTAATAACTTCACCATGCTCAAAGGGAATTCAATGTCTACTTATTTTAATTTTTTTACCATTTACCAATAGGTGCCCTTCTTTGTGAGGCATTGGAAAACCTCCCTGGTCTTTGTGGTTGAAATTGTGTTTGAAATTCACTGCTCGACTGAGGGACCTTGCAGATAATTGTATGTGTGGGGTACAGAGATGAGGTAGTCATTCAAAAATCATGTTAAACTCTATTATTGCACACAGAGTGAGTCCATGCAACTTATGTGACTTGATAAGCAAATATTTACTCCTGACCTTATTTAGGCTTGCTATAACAAAGGGGTTGAATACTTATTGACTCAAGACTTTTCACCTTTTCATTTTTAATTAATTTGTAAACATTTCTAAAAATATCATTCCACTTTGACATTATGGGGTATTGTGTGTAAGCTAGTGACAAATACATCTAAACGTTATCAATTTAAAATTCAGGCTGTAACATAACAAAATGTGTAAAAAGTCCAGGCTTGTGAATACTTTCTGAAGGCTCTGTATAAAGCCTATTACTGTATCTGGGAGGAGACAGTGCAACAACAGGACCTGTCTTATGTATGTCCGGATTGACACTTGGAAAGCAATCACAAAATCAATCCCAAGATCAAGATCAATCCCAAGATTGATCCCAAGATCAAGATCGATCCCAAGATCAAGATCAATCCCAAGATCAAGATCAATCCCAAGTCATTTTTAGGAATGAAAACCTCTAGAATAAATGGTTTGTTTCAGTTGATGACCTGAGTTCCATTTTAACTGGCAATGCAACTTTTGTATTACCTTGGTATTACAGTTTACAGCTGTGTTCAGAAAAATTACAAAGAATCAATCACACAGGCACGCATGCACACACACACATGCGCGCATGTGCTCGCGTATTTGTATACGTACAAACATGCCTTCACAACAGGCATATACACTGAGTATACCAAACATGAAAAACACCTTCCTAATATTCAGCTGCACCCCCCCACTTTTACCCTCAGAACAGCCTCAATTCGTCGGGGCATGGACTCTACAAGGTGTCGAAAGTGTTCCACAGGGATGCTGGCCCATGTTGACTCCAATGCTTCCTACGGTTGTGTCAAGTTAGTTGGATGTCCTTTGGGTGGTGGACCATTCTTGATACACTTGGGAAACTGTTGAGTGTGATAAACCCAGCAGCGTTGCAGTTCTTGACACAATCAAACCGGTGCACCTGGCTCCTACTACCATACCCCGTTCAAAGGCACTTAAATATTTTGTCTTGCCCATTCACCCTCTGAATGGCACACATACACAATCCATGTCTCAATTGTCTCAAGGCTTAAAAATCCTTCTTTAACCTGTCTCCAACCCTTCATCTACACTGATTGAAGTGGATTTAACAAGTGACATCAATAAGGGATCATATCTTTCACCTGGATTCACCTGGTCAGTCTAGCTCTGACTCTACTGATAGCTATGTTATTGAGGAAAAATGTACTTTCTGTGCCTGTGATATGTGGTTGGCCCACCCAGCTATCTTAAGAATGCACTAAGTCGCTCTGGATAAGAGCATTTGCTAAATGACTAAATTGTAAAAAGTAATTTTTTTAAATCTTTGAACATCCAGCGATCTCCTTTAGTGCTTGATGTGTAAAACAGCACCATCTAGTGGTCATATGAGGCACCAACAGTACTGTGTGAGTAGTAATCTACAGGTAGTTAGTTACTGGTTGATGTAGGGAAAGAGGCTACCAGTAAATCAGGCTATAAAGATCATAACCACCTCCCACTGGTTCCTAAGCTAAGTGATCAATTAAGGATGAAGTCAATCAATCACATGTATTAATAAAGCCCTTTTTACATCAGCAGATGTTACAAAGTGCTTATACAGAAACCCAGCCTAAAACCCCAAACAGCAAACAATGTGTTCACTTTGGTGGAAAATGTTACATGGGTCTGTTGTGTAGCACTTATAACAGCAGGGAAAGGAATTCTTCATGTTTTAGTTTTTCACTATCAGCTTGAATAGTGTTGACTTGCGAATTCCGTGTATTGTTCATGACTCGGATTATGCCTCAACAGTCTACGCTCCGTCTCCTCTCCTTCATCTGCAATGATCTGAAGCCACAGGGTAGGTGAAAGCAACATGGATACCTATTCAGCTGATCTGTCTTCCACCGGTCCAGTTATTTTTCACCTCGGTGGCAGAACATAGACGAGGACAGATAGGCCACTTTAGACGATGGGGATACACATTACATTACTACAGCAGTGTGTGTGTGTGTGTGTGTGTGTGTGTGTGTGTGTGTGTGTGTGTGTGTGTGTGTGTGTGTGTGTGTGTGTGTGTGTGTGTGTGTGTGTGTGTGTGTGTGTGTGAGTGTGTGAGTGTGTGAGTGAGTGAGTGAGTGAGTGAGTGAGTGAGTGAGTGAGTGAGTGAGTGAGTGAGTGAGAGAGCGAGCGAGAGAAAGAGAGAGAGAGACAGACAGACAGAGAGACACAGAGAGAGAGAGAGAGACACAGAGAGAGAGAGACACACACAGAGAGAGAGACAGAGAGAGAGTGAGAAAGAGAGAGAGTCTGTCTGAGATTCCGGAATTCCAAATAGAGCAGCAGCTGCTGAAAAAATGCAATGTTTACCCACCAGACATCCAAATGGAGAAAGCTAAGAAAAGTTTAAAAGGTTTGATGATGGGACACCATTAATGCCTGTTTGCAGATCTTACCAGTTGCAAAACAAGAGCAAATGTAATATTTAATACCAAACGAGTGCACATATGGAAAAGGGTTATTTGCAACAATTTCCCTTTCTCAAAAAAGAGAGGCAACAGCCAAGGATGTCAGATCAGCATTTTTGAAGAAGCTGACCAGAGCAACACGTATCAAACAGTAAACTTATATAATAATGGAACTGTATTGATACAAGGCAATGATTCAAGCCTCCAGGCTTTTGAGAATATGTTTGCTACCCTAAAAGCAGAAGCTGAACTAATCTCAGAAACTGAGGAAAAAGTCAAGATGGAGAAAAGCAGGCCCGAACGGTCTCTGTGACCCAGCAAGAAGCCCTCAGTGTCCCTCTACCTACCTCACCTGCAGCAGACAAAGCCAAGGACATGCCTACAACACCAAGAACACCTGCTATGCAACGTTTCCACAACACCCTCTCTCTCGTCGAAGCAGAGGTCATAGAACTCAGAGAGAACAAGCTTCAAAAGGAGGACACTGTCCAGAAACTAAAAGAAGATTTGAAACAGTTCAGGGAGGAGAGCAGAGCATCTATTGCTAATTTAGAAAGCAGAATGGACAAACTGAGTCAGACAAATGATGACCTCAGAAACCATCTGAGCACAAGAGAGGAGCTAGAGCAGAGAGAGGTATATTGACCCCCTCAACCAGCAGCTAGTCAATATGTCCTCTGCATCTAGAGAACATGTCCACCAGCCTGGTACAACACAGCCAGAACATGAGACCAGCATAACCAGCATGGCCTCCACCACACAGCCTGATGACACTGCACCTGCTTCCCAGTCTGCACCAGCCCAGGTCAACATTTACATTTTACATTTACGTCATTTAACAGACGCTCTTATCCAGAGCGACTTACATTATTATTTTCTTTTTTTTTCATACTGGCCCCCCATGGGAAACGAACCCACAACCCTGGCGTTGCAAACGCCATGCTCTACCAACTGAGCTACCTCCCTGCCGGCCATTCCCTCCCCTACCCTGGACGACGCTGGGCCAATTGTGCGCCGCCCCATTGGTCTCCCGGTTGCGGCCGGCTACAGCAGAGCCTGGATTCAAACCAGGATCTCTAGTGGCACAGCTAGCACTGCGATACAGTGCCTTAGACCACTGCGCCACTCGGGTGACCTACCAGCCTCTAAGTCTGCTCCAGCCCAGGTCAGCCAACCAGCCACCCAGTCTGCTCCAGCAAAGGTCAGCCAACCAGCCTCCCAGTCTGCTCCACCCCAGGTCAGAATACCAGTCTCCCAGTCTGCTCCACCCAGACAGTCACCCACAACTGCAATCCTTATCGATTCAAATGGGAAGTTCTTGGTCCAGGAAAGATTATTCCCTAGACACCAGGTGTATAAGTTCTGGTGTCCTACAACCGACAGTGCAATGCAGCTACTCAGTCAGACCAGGGTTGACACCCCCGACAACATCATCATCCACACTGGCAACTACAGTGAGGGAAAAAAGTATTTGATCCCCTGCTGATTTTGTACGTTTGCCCACTGACAAAGAAATGATCAGTCTATAATTTTAATGGTAGGTTTATTTTAACAGTGAGAGACAGAATAACAACAAAAAAATCCAGACAAACGCTTTATTTGCATTTTAATGAGGGAAATAAGTATTTGACCCCCTCTCAATCAAAAAGATTTCTGGCTCCCAGGTGTCTTTTATACAGGTAACGAGCTGAGATTAGGAGCACACTCTTAAAGGGAGTGCTCCTAATCTCAGCTTGTTACCTGTATAAAAGACACCTGTCCACAGAAGCAATCAATCAATCAGATTCCAAACTCTCCACCATGGCCAAGACCAAAGAGCTCTCCAAGGATGTCAGGGACAAGATTGTAGACCTACACAAGGCTGGAATGGGCTACAAGACCATCGCCAAGCAGCTTGGTGAGAAGGTGACAACAGTTGGTGCGATTATTCGCAAATGGAAGAAACACAAAATAACTGTCAATCTCCCTCAGCCTGGGGCTCCATGCAAGATCTCACCTCGTGGAGTTGCAATGATCATGAGAACGGTGAGGAATCAGCCCAGAACTACACGGGAGGATCTTGTCAATGATCTCAAGGCAGCTGGGACCATAGTCACCAAGAAAACAATTGGTAACACACTACGCCCTGAAGGACTGAAATCCTGCAGCGCCTGCAAGGTCCCCCTGCTCAAGAAAGCACATATACAGGGCCGTCTGAAGTTTGCCAATGAACATCTGAATGATTCAGAGGAGAACTGGGTGAAAGTGTTGTGGTCAGATGAGACCAAAATCGAGCTCTTTGGCATCAACTAAACTCGCCGTCTTTGGAGGAGGAGGAATGCTGCCTATGACCCCAAGAACACCATCCCCACCGTCAAACATGGAGGTGGAAACATTATGCTTTGGGGGTGTTTTTCTGCTAAGGGGACAGGACAACTTCACCGCATCAAAGGGACGATGGACTTGGCCATGTACCGTCAAATCTTGGGTGAGAACCTCCTTCCTCAGCCAGGGCATTGAAAAAGGGTCGTGGATGGGTATTCCAGCATGACAATGACCCAAAACACACGGCCAAGGCAACAAAGGAGTGGCTCAAGAAGAAGCACATTAAGGTCCTGGAGTGGCCTAGCCAGTCTCCAGACCTTAATCCCATAGAAACTCTGTGGAGGGAGCTGAAGGTTCGAGTTGCCAAACGTCAGCCTCGAAACCTTAATGACTTGGAGAAGATCTGCAAAGTGGAGCGGAACAACATCCCTCCTGAGATGTGTGCAAACCTGGTGGCCAACTACAAGAAACGTCTGACCTCTGTGATTGCCAACAAGGGTTTTGCCACCAAGTACTAAGTCATGTTTTGCAGAGGGGTCAAATACTTATTTCCCTAATTAAAATGCAAATCAATTTATAACATTTTTGACATGCGTTTTTCAGGATTTTTTTGTTGTTATTCTGTCTCTCACTGTTCAAATAAACCTACCATTAAATAATATGCCATTTAGCAGACGCTTTTATCCAAAGCGACTTACAGTCATGCGTGCATACATTTTTTGTGTGTATGGGTGGTCCCGGGGAACGAACCCACTACCTTGGCGTTACAAGCGCTGTGCTCTACCAGCTGAGCTACAGAGGACCACATTAAAATTATAGACTGATCATGTCTTTGTCAGTGGGCAAACGTACAAAATCAGCAGGGGATCAAATAATTTTTTCCCTCACTGTACCTTCATGCCAAAGGTGAAAATGTATCTGGGGCAGTGAGAAGAGTGGCAGAACGGGCACAGGCTATGTTCCCAACAACCAATATAGTTGTGTCCACCCTCCTACCAAGAAAATACTTCCCAGAAAAGTTGATCAAAAAAATAAATCAAAAGATCACTGTGGACTGTGCCTCACTGCTCAACATCAGAACGGCTCACCACCCCACTCTGACATGTGAACATTTATACGATAATGTACATCTTGATCAGGACAGTATCAGAACATTTGCCAAGGACCTAAAGGATGCAACACTTGGCAGGGACCCACACACCCATCACCCCAGCAACAGAGTTCCCCCGCCCCACTTTCTAAAACAACAGTACCCCCACCATCCCCAGGAGAGAAGAGCCAGACACGGCTTATTACAGCACAGCTCTACAAGACCAGGCCCAACACAGCACAGATTTACCAGACCAGACCCGCCTCAGGACAGCACGACCAGACCCGGCCCATCACAACACAGCTCTACTAGACCCGGCCCATCACAACACAGCTCTACTAGACCCAGCCCATCACAACACAGTTCTACTGGACCTGGCCCATCACAACACAGCACTGACCACTACTCCAGGGTCGGGCAGAACACTGTCCTTCAGAGAAGTGCACCACATGATGCAGTCCACACCATGTATCATTCAGATCATCAGCCTACATATGCTGAGGTAACCTCTGGCAAAAGACACCTAGAACAATCAGAGATAGGAGAGGTGCGCCAACTACTGCATCTAATATGCAGACTACTGGGCTAGACAGACCCTTTAATTCACACGCACGCACATGCACGCACACACACACACACACACACACACACACACACACACACACACACACACACACACACACACACACACACTCACACACACAGGGTTGCAGATTGCATTGTACTTATTTTTTGGGCCATTCTTATTAAGTTGTTTACAACTATCCTTTATTTTATTGGCACTGGTATTATAATAATAGTGATGTGTAATGGTGTGTGTGTGTGTGTGTATGGTTATGTATGTATGTATGTATATGTATGTACTTTACTCAAACCAGTGAATATCACTTATTATAAATGAGATCATTAACTATCAGCTCTTGGAATATCCAGGGCCTGTACTCTTCACATTTTGGTTATAAAACAACAAATCCAGAATTGATTAAAAACATCAAGGGACAGGACATCATAATCCTACTGGAAACATGGTGTCGTGGAGACATAGATACTCAGTGTCCCTCAGGCTATAGAGAAAGTTTACTACCATCAATCAAACATAAAAATGTTAAACGGGGCCGAGACTCAGGAGGAATCATCATTTGGCATAAGCAGGACTTAGCACTGAATGAAATGAAAAAAGGTACTAATCACATTTGGTTAAAACTTAACAAAGGTACAATCTATTGTGACAATGATGTATACATATGTGCATCTTATGCTCCTCCTTCAGATTCATCATATTATGATGATCAGTTTTTTGACTATCTCCATACAGAAATCATTCAATTTCAGGCAGAGGGTCAAGTGCTTCTTTGTGGAGATTTCAATGCAAGAGCAGGTTCTGAGCCTGACTACACTGATGTGGGAGGTAACCACCACATATTTGGACACCCCTCCTTGTACAGTAGCCCAATTATAAATAATAGAAACAGTCCTGACCAAATACTGAACAAAAATGGGAAGGAGTTAGTGCATCTCTGTCGAGCCTTAGGCCTGTACATGCTTAATGGTAGAATCAGAAGGGACTCTTTAAGTCGGTTTACTTACTGCTCAGCTCTTGGGACAAGTGTAGTCGATTATGCCATCACTGACATCTACCCTTCCTCCATTAGTGCATTCACTGTCAGACCACAGACACCATTGTCAGATCACAGTCAGATCAACGTGTTTCTGAAGAAATTAACCGGCAATATTCATTCAAAAAAACTGTTGAATAAACTCTACAACATGAACCAATCGTACAGATGGGCTCAAAACAGTGCAGAGATTCATTGAAACATTGAACTCAAATGAAATGATGAACTCTATACAGTTTTTCAATTACTCACAATACCAAAACAATAAAGAAGGTGTCAATTCAGCTACTCAAAACATCAATTGCATTTTCCAAAAAGCAGCATCAAAAGCAAATTTGAGAAAACCAAAGAAATGCAACATCAGAAACAAAAAACAGAATTTTTCTGAAAAATGGTTTGATAACGAATGTAAAACAATTAGAAAACACCTAAGACAAATTTCAAATGAAAAACATAAGCAGCAAAACAACCCAGAGCTATGCTATGAATACTTTGAAACTCTGAAACAGTATAAACATACACTAAAACGCAAGAAATTGAATTATACCAACAAGACACTTGATGAAATTGAATGTGCAATTGACCAAAATCAGTTCTGGGACATGTGGAACAATTTAAGCATGACAAAGCCAGAAGAATTAGCCATACAAGATGAAGGAATTTGGAAAACTTATTTTGATAATCTATACAAAAACATCCCACAAAAAGACTTACAACAGAACCAATTAGAAATTCAAGAAAAATTTCACATCCTTGAATCGGTCATTAAAAACAACCAAAATCCATTAGATTACCCAATAACCCAACAAGAACTAAATGAAAAGCACAAATCTATAAAATCAAAGAAGGCTTGTGGTCTAGATAACATCAGAAATGAAATGCTGAAAAACAGCACACCTGAGTTGCAAAATGCTGTGCTTAAGTTGTTCAACATAGTTTTAACTTCTGGCTGCTTCCCTCCACAAAAGCGGAGACAAATCAGACCCCAATAATTACAGGGGAATTTGCGTAAACACCAACTTGGGAAAGGTTTTCTGTAGCATTTTGAATTCAAGAATTCAAACCTTTCTTCAAGAGAAAAATGTGATAAGTAAATGTCAAATTGGCTTTCTCCCTAACCATTGCACTACTGACCATAAATACACATTACACACACTAATTAATAAACACGTCCACCAAAAAAAAGAGGGCAAAATCTTTGCTTGCTTTATTGACATTAAAAAAGCATTTGATTCTATTTGGCATGAAGGGCTATTCTGCAAAATTCTCCAAAGTGGGCTTGGTGGTAAGGAGTATGACTTAATAAAATGTATGTACACAGAAAACAAGTGTGCCATAAAAATAAAAAACCAAAGAACATAATTATTTTCACAACGTCGAGGTGTGAGACAAGGCTGCAGTTTGAGTCCAAATCTTTTCAACATTTATATCAATGAATTAGCAGACATGTTGGACAATTCTCCAGACCCAGGACTCACACTATTTGACACAGAGGTAAAATACCTGCTATATGCTGATGACTTGGTACTTCTATCACCAACCAATGAAGGTCTTCAACAGAACCTTAACATTCTAGAGCAATATTGCAATAATTGGGCCCTGGCAGTAAATGTCAAAAAAACTAAAATCATGATTTTCCCCCCAAAAAAACAGATGTCAGAAACACAAATATAAATTCACCCTGAACAACACCATAATTGAACACACAAAAAATTACACATACCTTGGTCTGACCATATCTGCATCGGGAAACTTTAATATGGCAGTGAATGCACTCAAAGAAAAAGCCCGCAGAGCATTGTATGCAATAAAAATGAAATTATTCAAAATCAACATCCCAATTAGAATTTGGACCAAAATATTTGACAGTGTAATCCTACCAATAGCTCTTTACGGAAGTGAGGTTTGGGGGCCACTCAATAAACTGGACTTTAAAATATGGGACAAACATCCAATGGAAGCCCTACATGCAGAATTCTGTCGGATAATTTTACAAGTCCAGAGAAATACACATGTAGGGCAGAATTGGGCCGCTTTCCAGTAGTAATGAAAATACAGAAAAGATCAGTAACATTTTGGCTACATCTAAATTCAAGTCCAAATTCAAGTCTGCAATTTAAAGCACTTCAAACCCAAGAGCTGAGCCCAGAAACGAGCCCTCTCAGTCAGCTGGTGTTGGACCTAACCAACCAAGCTGACACCAGCACTGCTTCAAAAGAAAGAATTCCAATGAACAAAATCATGAACCAATCAAAGGACTCATATTTACAACATTGGAAAAACGAAACAAAATCCCAAAGCCGACTAAATTGCTATCTGACCCTAAACAGAGAATATGAATTGGCTGATTATCTCTACTCTGTCAGAGATACGAAGCAGAGACAGATCCTTACCAAGTACAGGCTGAGTGACCACCAATTGGCCATAGAAACCGGCAGACATAAAAAAACATGGCTACCCAAAAAGGAGCGTGTATGTGGTCACTGCACGACAGGGGAGGTAGAAACAGAGATGCACTTTCTCCTTTACTGTGATAAATATTCCTCACAAAGAGATTATATACCATTTTATTGTTGTTATTTATTTGTTATTATTTACTACCATTTTTTATTATTATTTGTTATTCTTTATTATTTTATTACAATGTATATTGTATACATTGTTGCTTTGGCAATATTGACGCAATGTTTTTCATGCCAATAAAGCAGCTTGAATTGAATTGAATTGAGAGAGAGACAGAGACAGAGACAGAGACAGAGACAGAGAGAGAGAGAGAGAGAGAGAGAGAGAGAGAGAGAGAGAGAGAGAGAGAGAGAGAGAGAGAGAGAGAGAGAGAGAGAGAGAGAGAGAGAGAGAGAGAGAGAGAGAGAGAGAGAGAGAGAGAGAGAGACTGTGCTCCACTTTCATTTCTACAATATCAGGCTCAAGATCCCTTGCTGTGACCCAAATAGCACCCTATTCACTATATAGCCTTATGGGTCCTGGTCTAAAGTAAGTGCACTTTATATATATTTACTTCATAGTGAATATAGGGTGTCATTTGGGATTCAACCTCTGTTTTTTTAGGGGATTGTCAGGAGTTGCTATGGTAGGTGTGGTGTGGAATCAGGCGCAGGAGGCAGAAATAAAGTCCAACAAAATACTTTAGTAGATATCACAAATAATATCCAAAACCAGCCCGGAGGCGAGAAAAGCGCGCACAGGCGTACAACAAACGGGCGCAATCAACAAGTGCGTAATCTACTCCTAAAACACAAACAAGGAGGAAAGCACAAAATAGCGCACCAAGAACAGGTAGCGCAGCAACACGACATGGAACAATTACACACAACACCTAACTAACAACAAGGAAACTAAATAGGGTGCTTAATGAGACATAACACAAAACAGGTGTGACAAACAGACAAAACCAATCAAACACGAAACATAGAGCGGTGGCAGCTAGTACTCCGGAGACGACGACCGCCGAAACCTGCCCGAACAAGGAGGAGGGGCCGCCTCGGCCGAAACCGTGACAGGGATAAATCCTGATATCTTCAATCCAGACCAAATGGCAGCAGTACAACTGAAGGGGACACTGTTGTCCCGTATAGGGAGTCAGCTATCTGGCAGAACCATTTATATCATATAGGGAGTCAACTATCTGGCAGAACCATTTATATCATATAGGGAGTCAACTATCTGGCAGAACCATTTATATCATATAGGGAGTCAGCTATCTGGCAGAACCATTTATATCATATAGGGAGTCAACTATCTGGCAGAACCATTTATATCATATAGGGTGTCAACTATCTGGCAGAACCATTTATATCATATAGGGA